GATTGGCTTCGAGAGCGCCCTGTCACGAATGCTCACTTGGGGTGAGATCTGGCGAATAGCCATGCTGGGGCTAAGCTCTGCCTTAAGATCTGCGTACGATGTATTACCACCTGGCGTCAACATGGTGAAATGGCATACGACTACCGTCCTGACATGCCCACTGTGCAGAGCTAAGCAGACGCTCGAGCATATATTGTCCGCGTTAAAAAAAGCCACAGGCCAGGGACGATATACTTGCCGCCACAACAAAGTGCTGAAAGAGCTGACTGGCATTGTAGACCAAGCCAGCAGGAAGGCCAACGCTAACGTCACCAACATGCGCTTCCGCAAGAATGGGCAGATTTATAAAGGTAAAATCAACAAGGTCGCATATGCTCCATCAATACTTGACTGTGCGAGTGACTGGATACTGGGTGACGACCTGCCTGATTTCGAAAAGTACCCAAAGTTAACTCGGAAGACCGACCTAAGGCACTACATAGTTCTGCACTCTCCTGAAAAACGCCAGCTCGTCCTGATAGAGCTGACCGTGCCGTACGAGTCGCAAAGGGAGGAAAATCATCTGTACAAGCTCGAATATTACAGAGAGCTCGAGGAGAGACAAAGCGTACGCAGTAAAAATCTTCGCCGTCGAGGTAGGCACAAAAGGTCTCATCTCATCTTTCACATAGAATGTGCTAAGGCAGCTAGGCTTGAGAGACAAGGATCGTAAACGATCACTAAAACAACAGGGCAAAGTTGCTGAAAGAGCTTCGAGCTGGTTTTGGACGCAACGGAACGTCGTGGGTGATGGGCTTTGGTAGACTGGTCTGAGCGCCCAGTGAAGAGGAGCTTATTATCCCTTAAAACCCAATGTGCCCAAGAAATGTCTACCAGTGTCTCTCTGCCAATTCCTAAAGTCTAACACCTGTCCGTTGAAGAAACCGTAAAGCTTGTCACTTTGGCCGTAAAGGTAGGCTGCCAATTTTCTACCGCAGCGACATAAATTATTTACAACAAGTTCTCACAGCACCTGTTGTAACCTTTTCGCGTTCTCCCTCTCTCGTTTAAATGCAGCAGGAGAAACGGGGTCTGGCGTCATGAACCGGCCCGCCCTCTGAAATTGTCTAGAATATCATGCCGAAACAAGGGACCATCCTACTGATGATCGGTAGCTGCTCCCATGTGGAGTTTTTACTATTATTGCACAAGGGACATTTGACCAGATTAGCGCCTGAGGTTAATACGACGTACGCAGATCTAACAAGAAAGTTCAGTCGCAGTGGAGCCATTCGCAATTCTCACCAAGTAGAACCGCTGTATGGTACTTTCGAGGCCAAAAAAAAAAAAAACAGCCCTAGCTGCGACTGCTTGGCTGCTTTCTAGACCCTCAACTAATTTTCGATGTCCCAGATCCGTCTGGATATTATTGACAGTTAGTGAGTTGCGTATCCTTTACAGGACATTGTAGAACCAACCCCAGCATTTTTTGGCGGTTGTGAGTTTTCTAGGCAATTTTTACACTTATTAAAAAGAAAGGCTACCAGATTTGTAATACTAAAGTTCTGCAACGAGACTAAAGTCTCGAAGTGGACTAACATCAAAAACTTTTCGCAGGATTTACAACCGTTGAAGGGTAAGAAGATAAAACCCCATTCATCATATCTAGCCATCTTATGAAAGGTGAAACACAGAAGCATATTATGAAAATTGAGACACATTTTGGAAAGAAAGACATTAAAAGAAATTGCATCAGTAGTTTTACGGCAGTCGTATAATGCATTAACTTGGACATTGGGATTATGTCATTAGCATTCTCGCACTAGCCGGTATGCAGAAACACTTAATGGATATTTAAAATATTTCGGGTATTTGTTATAAAAGTAAGCAAATGCTGCGATTGTGCATGTCATATTCGATAGCTCAACAGATCTAAAGATAACGCAGTTAATCTCATGTAACTCATGACACTCACTGGCAAGTTATTGGCAACTTTTATAAATTTTAAACGAAAATATGGAACTCTAAACTGTATAGTTTTGAAAACAGGCTACATGTTTTCAGTACTAATTTTATTTCAATTACAAATTTTGCCAGTAAAAATTAGTAAGACACTAAAGACAGGAAACGAAAGTTAAATATAAAGATGCTAGGCAACGATACAAGGCATAGTGCTCTGGACCAATTGGCACTTATATTTGATGTGGTGAAAACCACGCTAGCCCTTTACTTGCCAGGATATTCAATTCCCATTAGCGGCCGGGTGATCTTTCTACCGAGTATGATCTTAGGATTATCTGAAGTATTATTACATTGATAGATAGTGCTATAAATAACAGGAATAAAACTCTTGTCTTTTTTTCGATGATTTTCGTTTCAGATTTGATCCTTTTCAAATTTTCGAGGTAAGCTGAGTGTGTTTAAACAGTAATTACAGAAAATGTGATAATAACTTCAGCAAATGTATATGAACATCTGCATTCTAACTACTTCTGCATACTTTGAGTATCAGGTAATCGTAGGCAGTATTTGTACTGTTAGTATGCATTTGGACATATACTGTTAACTATATATCACTTAAATATTGCTTGCATGGTATTTATGGAGACATCTCAACTAATTATTTTAATGAATTCAATCACTTGCCTATTTTGTGTTAAAAACTTTTAGTAAGGAAAACAATAATATATCCTTTTCCATGTCTCTAGGCGTATGGGGCATATAGTGCTAGACCTCTATTCTATAGGAAATCAGCACTCAGTAAGTGATACATCAGCTACCGGGTCGCCCATAGGCTTGCCAGTAGACGACCTCGTCGCCCTTCGGGACAGTATTTAGGTCTGTCTCCGTTGATCGCACTTACACTACAGATGTCCTTTTCAGAACTGTTGGTGACGGAAATTGCTGAGCCATTTTAATGGGGCGCACTTAACCTAGGCATAATTATAACCTAAAGCACCTCTCTTAAAATTGATGATGATGATAACAATGGGTGACGTGGTCAGCATCACACCGACCGTCTTTGTTTCCCAGGACTTTACCTGGTACTCCTTTAAGGCTGGGTAGACCTGGCATAAAAGGTCGTTTTTGAAGAAAGTCCGGCTTCGTTCGGATTTGAGCCCACGACCTTTGGATCCACAGTGTCACCTAATGCTGGTGTCAGGTGTCTTTGTTAGGGTTTCCCCTAATGAACCAAAAGACACTCTGAAGCAATTTAAGTGTTGAGATGTTGGCTCGCAATGGTCTAGGCGGTATCCTGCAGCTTCAAAGAACATTCAACCTACTTCAGGGGTGAGGAGACTCAAATTATGGCACTATATAAACATTCCTAGGCGCAGCTTGGACTGACTTCCCCACTATTTTTAAGCCCCCCAGACTAAATAGTAATCATATGCTAGTCAAGTTAATACAGTATAACATAAAGTACAACAATACAACAGATACTCTAGACAACGTAAGAACTGTGAAGGATTGTTACTAACCACAGAATGTAAACTAACAAAACATCATGAAATCAATGCAATTCATATATAGTGACAAGTATTTTAGAAAGATTCTCAGAATACCATAGGTTGTGTTTAGCTAATTCAAGAACCGACACGATTACAGCACTAAGGATTGCCATAGGCTCCCTCTAGGCAAATGAAGAGTTCCAACTCCAATGGTACCAGTAACTGTCTGATTGAAAATCCGTCTCGCCTTTCCCCTGAGTGTCGAACGTCAGCCAGATCCCCTTGTAACTCCTCGCAGTACCATTCTTCTCAAATCGTTCACTCGCCCCCAAATTGCCCTCACAACATTTAGATTGTCATACATCAGTTCACAACCAAGGGGTGCAGAACCGGCCAGTATATCTGCCTTCTTATTTCCCAACACACAGGTATCCCATAGAGAAAATATTCAAAGGTTGCTAACTACCCGGGACTTTTGAAGTGCTTGCCACTCTGCACAGAGCATACCTGTGTACACCTTTCTCAACATGCTCTGTGAGTCAGTTACAATAACGGCATGTGTGCAGCTGATTCTCAAGCCAGTGGAAGGCAGCAGTGACTGCTTTCACCTCTATTGTTAAACTATACGTAATATCAAACGGCATGCTTTGTTGCACCAAGCGACGTACCTCAAGGAAGATTGGCTAATAAACATCATCTTGTCTTGAAAGCTGAGGCACGGTACTAGGAAATAGGGGTAGGGGCCGGCCAGCACGAAAATGTGCACAGGATATAAATGACTCATTGGATATGACTGTGTACGAGGTGGAAGAGCTGGGTGGAGACCGAGTTTCATTCAGCCAGACCGTGATGAGAGCGATGTTCTTCAAAGGATCTGCTGTATTATGATGTCTGCATCACCTAAATTTACAAGGGGAAAATTGTTTTGCATACAAAATATAGATGTGCCCTGTGTGGGTTACAGGGCCCTATTATAGGGGGAAAAAAGAATAGACCCACTGCCTACCCAAAAGCATGTCGTAGAGTCAACTAACTGGGAGCTTCTTTCGAAGCCAGAGTACATCTGCCTGAGAGGCAAGGAACCAGCAGTCTGCATACAGATTAGTCAGATTTGTCAAACGGATGCACACAAAACATTCAGGTTCTGAACAGGACTGCAGTCCAAAAGTGGATGAACAACCACAACTTACAGCCAGAGTTGACAGCAAGTGAACACGTTAAAGAAGAAGAAGAAAATATAGATGTGTGTGTGTGTAATCTGTTGTGCTGCTAGCTCAATTGTGTAGAGTTATAAGATCTAGACACCACAAACAGTTTTATCTGTTATAGTGTTTTGAACATAGACACAGCAAATGCGAACAGTCGAATATTATTGCGCTATACGATATGGCCTTGAACTGACTGGAGAGCAATTACAAATACTAAGAGAGAAAAGCACGGTCGAAAAGAATAGCCGTGATAACATGTAAATGCCTTGTCAAGTAAAATGACTGGCAATCAATCAAATTGATACTTTGTTAAACTAAGTTTTAAAAAATGAACAATATCATTAAAACGTCTCTATCTAAGGTATCCCACAAGCAGTGTGCTTTCCTGCACGTGACGGTAGTCAGGGGGCGCAGAATTACCAAAGGATGGGCTCAAGATCTAGGCAAGTCTACAGTAACCCACATTTATGTTAGTTGTTTCACTGATACTTATATAAGTCTACAGTAACCCACATTTATGTTAGTTGTTTCACTGACACTTGTATAAGTCTACAGTAACCCACATTTATGTTAGTTGTTTCACTGATACTTGTATAAGTCTACAGTAACCCACATTTATGTTAGTTGTTTCACTGATACTTGTATAAGTCTACAGTAACCCACATTTATGTTAGTTGTTTCACTGATACTTGTATAAGTCTACAGTAACCTACATTTATGTTAGTTGTTTCCCTGATACTTGTATAAGTCTACAGTAACCCACATTTATGTTAGTTGTTTCACTGATACTTGTATAAGTCTACAGTAACCCACATTTATGTTAGTTGTTTCACTGATACTTGTATAAGTCTACAGTAACCCACATTTATGTTAGTTGTTTCACTGATACTTGTATAAGTCTACAGTAACCCACATTTATGTTAGTTGTTTCACTGATACTTGTATAAGTCTACAGTAACCCACGTTTATGTTAGTTGTTTCACTGATACTTGTATAAGTCTACAGTAACCCACATTTATGTTAGTTGTTTCACTGATACTTGTATAAGTCTACAGTAACCCACATTTATGTTAGTTGTTTCACTGATACTTGTATAAGTCTACAGTAACCCACATTTATGTTAGTTGTTTCACTGATACTTGTATAAGTCTACAGTAACCTACATTTATGTTAGTTGTTTCACTGATACTTGTATAAGTCTACAGTAACCTACATTTATGTTAGTTGTTTCACTGATACTTGTATAAGTCTACAGTAACCCACATTTATGTTAGTTGTTTCACTGATACTTGTATAAGTCTACAGTAACCCACATTTATGTTAGTTGTTTCACTGATACTTGTATAAGTCTACAGTAACCCACATTTATGTTAGTTGTTTCACTAATACTTGTATAAGTCTACAGTAACCCACATTTATGTTAGTTGTTTCACTGATACTTGTATAAGTCTACAGTAACCCACATTTATGTTAGTTGTTTCACTGATACTTGTATAAGTCTACAGTAACCCACATTTATGTTAGCTGTTTCACTGATACTTGTATAAGTCTACAGTAACCCACATTTATGTTAGTGATACTTTCACTGATACTGTATAAGTCTACAGTAACCCACATTTATGTTAGTTGTTTCACTGATACTTGTATAAGTCTACAGTAACCCACATTTATGTTAGTTGTTTCACTGATACTTGTATAAGTCTACAGTAACCCACATTTATGTTAGTTGTTTCACTGATACTTGTATAAGTCTACAGTAACTCCCATTTTTGTTAGTTGTTTCACTAATACTTGTATAAGTCTACAGTAACTCACATTTATGTTAGTTGTTTCACTGATACTTGTATAAGTCTACAGTAACCCACATTTATGTTGGTTGTTTCACTGATACTTGTATAAGTCTACAGTAACCCACATTTATGTTAGTTGTTTCACTGATACTTGTATAAGTCTACAGTAACCCACGTTTATGTTAGTTGTTTCACTGATACTTGTATAAGTCTACAGTATTCCCCATTTATGTTAGCTGTTTCACTGATACTTGTATAAGTCTACAGTAACCCACGTTTATGTTAGTTGTTTCACTGATACTTGTATAAGTCTACAGTAACCTACATTTATGTTAGCTGTTTCACTGATACTTGTATAAGTCTACAGTAACCCACATTTATGTTAGTTGTTTCACTGATACTTGTATAAGTCTACAGTAACCCACATTTATGTTAGTTGTTTCACTGATACTTGTATAAGTCTACAGTAACCCACATTTATGTTAGTTGTTTCACTGATACTTGTATAAGTCTACAGTAACCCACATTTATGTTAGTTGTTTCACTGATACTTGTATAAGTCTACAGTAACCCACATTTATGTTAGTTGTTTCACTGACACTTGTATAAGTCTACAGTAACCTACATTTATGTTAGCTGTTTCACTGATACTTGTATAAGTCTACAGTAACCTACATTTATGTTAGTTGTTTCACTGATACTTGTATAAGTCTACATTAACCTACATTTATGTTAGTTGTTTCACTAATACTTGTATAAGTCTACAGTAACCCACATTTATGTTAGTTGTTTCACTGACACTTGTATAAGTCTACAGTAACCCACATTTATGTTAGTTGTTTCACTGACACTTGCATAAGTCTACAGTAACCCACATTTATGTTAGTTGTTTCACTGACACTTGTATAAGTCTACAGTAACCCACATTTATGTTAGTTGTTTCACTGACACTTGTATAAGTCTACAGTAACCCACATTTATGTTAGTTGTTTCACTGACACTTGTATAAGTCTACAGTAACCCACATTTATGTTAGTTGTTTCACTGATACTTGTATAAGTCTACAGTAACCTACATTTATGTTAGTTGTTTCACTGACACTTGTATAAGTCTACAGTAACCCACATTTATGTTAGTTGTTTCACTGACACTTGTATAAGTCTACAGTAACCCACATTTATGTTAGTTGTTTCACTGACACTTGTATAAGTCTACAGTAACCAACACATTTATGTTAGTTTATAAGTTTCACTGACACTTGTATAAGTCTACAGTAACCCACATTTATGTTAGTTGTTTCACTGACACTTGTATAAGTCTACAGTAACCCACATTTATGTTAGTTGTTTCACTGACACTTGTATAAGTCTACAGTAACCCACATTTATGTTAGTTGTTTCACTGACACTTGTATAAGTCTACAGTAACCCACATTTATGTTAAAGAAATAGCTGTACCCAGCCACGCGTTGCTGTGGCCCAGAATGGTGAAATGGAGTGGAAAGAAAATAGCTCTCAGCTAACAGTGTCTGTCATATTCCCCCCCCCCCTTCCTCTCCCCTCGATCCAGTCATATCTGCCTCTCTGAAGGCTTGAAAAAATCATCCATGGCGAAATTAGTAAAATAGAAATAGTTTAGAAAAAAGAACTTTAAAATAATAGTAGTTTAAGCTCTCTCAGCTAACTGTGCCTGGCATAACCCCCCCCCCCCCCTTTTTTTTTTCCACCAATTATATCTCACTATCCGTAGGATTGAAAAATCCTCAGCTAGCGAAATTATTAAAATAAAAATAGTTAAGAAAAGAGAACATTAAAATAATATTTGAAGCTCTCTCAGCTAACTGTGTCTGGCATAACCTCTCCCCCCCCTTCCCCTCCCCCAATCATATCTCCCTCTCCGAAGAATTGAAAAATCATCACCTGGCGAAGTCATATCTCCCTTTCCAAAGGATTGAAAAATCATCCATGGCGAAATGATTTAAATGGAAATAGTTCAGAAATGAGAACTTTAAATAATAAAGCTCTATGTTTTGCAGCTCTCTCAGCTAACTGTGTCTGGCATACCCCCCCCCCCCCCCCCCCCCCTCTTCCACCAATCAAATCTCCCTCTCCGTAGGATTGAAAAATCATCCATGGCGAAATTATTAAAAATAGAAATAGTTAAGAAATGAGAACATTAAAATAATATTTTAAGCTCTCTCAGCTAACTGTGTCTGGCATAACCTCTCCCCTCTTCCCCTCCCCCAATCATATCTCCCTCTCCGAAGAATTGAAAAATCATCACCTGGCGAAGTCATATCTCCCTTTCCAAAGGATTGAAAAATCATCCATGGCGAAATGATTAAAATGGAAATAGTTCAGAAATGAGAACTTTAAAATAATATGTTAAGCTCTCTCAGCTAACTGTGTCTGGCATACCCCCCCCCCTTTTTTTTCCCCCTCTTCCACCAATCATATCTCCCTCTCCGTAGGATTGAAAAATGATCCATGGCGAAATTATTAAAAATAGAAATAGTTAAGAAATGAGAACATTAAAATAATATTTTAAGCTCTCTCAGCTAACTGTGTCTGGCATAAACCCCCGCTCCCCCAATTATAGCATCCTCTCCGAAGGATGGGAAAGTCCCCATCTGACATATTGAAACTAAATTGAGCTTGGCATCCGTGTCCACCCAGACTTGAATAGGTAGCATTAACTTGTACTGAGAAGTAAATGTGGCCAGTGTAACAGCTACCACATCACCCATCCGGTAGCAGTACTACTGCAACCACTACCACCACCACCATCACAACAACAACAACGACAACAACAAGAACTGTCACTACAGTCTGTGTAGGTCGGTGTAGAAAAGAGGAGTTAGCGGCGCATGTTGTTGCTACGGACTATTTAGTTTAATTTTGATCCTGACACAGGGAGAAAAAAAAAACAACCTTATCACGTAACCAGTGATGGAACCTACAGTGAAAAGTAAACTATACTCACAAATAGCGGAGAAAAACACTCCGCACCCGTCATCTCTCCCTCTCCGAGGGAACGATTTTTAACCGACCTTGGCATCTTTGTCCACCCAAACTAAACTGGACTGTAAGCCGTCTTAGTTAACAGTGAATGCAACGTTGTGCGACAATGTGAGAGAATTAGTTTGAGATGTGTCGGCAGATTGACGAAGATGTGTGAGATCTACTACGGGTCTGCCAACAGGATGTGTGTGAAAACCCAAGCTAAGGTGACCTAAATAACCCAAGCAAAACGTAAGCAAAATAAAAGTAACACGACAAAAAAAAAAGCTAAGATTAAAAAATGGTATAAAATTTATATGATGGAAAGGAACAATGTACCCACAGATATGTAGGTATGTAATGATATATAAAAATATATATAAAAACAACAAAGTAAACAACGCAGCAAAATATGAACCCAAGGCGTCATTCAAAAATCTGGTTCACGTGGGGAAAAGGTATCTATTGCCAGCCCTGCTCAGCAGTCAAAGGCGGCCGATCAACTAAAAAAAAAAAAAAATCCGGGCGGGCAACGAAACAAATAATGATTTGACCGTTGCTGGAGCTACGTCGTTCGTGCGATATTATGACAAAAATTTACGCTTGGAGTCACAGGCAACGTTGTGTAAAAAATTTGAAAGCAATCGGTTCAGTATTTTCCAAGTTTTTAGCTAACGACATCGGAAAATTAACATTTTTATTAATATAGATTAGAATCATTATAACTCGCTTATTACTCTGCTATCCTCAAAAAATGTGTAATCCCAAACATCCCCCCTTCCCCCGGGGACCACGTCTTTGTATCTGCACCCCAGATCAACAGCTAAACGTAGACTTAAGCTTGTTACAGAGTTTGTTAGCAGTTTCAGCATTTGTCATGTAATCCTTTTTTTCTTTACAGTTTGTCAGTTTTGGTCAAATTGTATATGTGCAGATATGTGTTTATGAATTTGTAAAATATCACAATTTCAAATATGTGTAAATTGTTCTGCATTTTAGTTGACACACCAGATCCGTATGTCATTCTGACCTTTGTGAATTCCCCTCAGTCCTGGAGGAAGACATCTGTCAAGGACAATGACATCAATCCCGAATGGAATGAAACCTTCACCTTTTGGCTTGACCCAGATCAGGATCACACATTAGGTAGGATCGTAGGGAACCATCATCCCCATCCACTGCCTTGCCAGTTGGCATAGGTCTTCATGCATCTCCACAGATCTCGGTCTTTGGTGTTCTGGGTCTATTGTGCTCATGATATTCATCCATGCCTGTGTCTTAAGCCATTCACCATCATTTCCCTTGGTCTGCCTCTGCCTTTTCCAGCAGGGATATTTCCAGTCATCAAGATCTTTTCCAGTGCTCCTTTTCTCATCACATGACCAAAGAACTTTGTTTGTCTCCTTCTCATTGTTGTATATAATGTTTTACTGTCATTAGCCATTTTGATGCAGTCTTCTTCTTCTTCTTCACGTTCACCAGCTGTACACTCTGGCGGAAGGTTCTGGTTTCTCGTCCACTACTGAACTGCAGTCCTGCTCCAGAACCTGAGTGTTGTATGTGCATCAGTTTTACAGATCTTATTCTTTTGAATACAGACTGTTGGTTCCTTGCCTCTCCGGCAGATGCACTTCGACTTCAAAGGAAGCTCCCCAATTAGTCGACTCTTACGACATGCTTTTGGGGAGGCAGTGGGTCTATTCTTGTTTTCCCCACAATGGGGCCCCGGAACCCACACGGGGGACTTGATGCATTCATTGTTAGGTACTCTGGCTGTTCAAAGTATTCGCAGCATTCTTCTCAAGAACCACATCTCGGTTGCCTCCAAACTCTTTTTAATTTGTTTGCTCACATTTCAAGATTCACTGCCATACAACAGAACAGGCTCGAAATAACATTTCAGTACTTATATTCTGATATTTAATGAGAGTGATTTATTACATAAGATACTTTTCATTTTCTGAAATGCTACATTGGCCTGACCAATTCTGCTCTTAATTTCTGTCACATACCATCCATCTGATCTATAAATGTCTCTAAATACACGAATTTATTGACATGGGTTACCACTTCCCTTCTACTGCTGTCACATTTCGGAAAATCTTCTTCTTTTGATAATAGACATTGTTTCTGTTTTCTTGACATTGAAGGAAAGTCTTTTTCGGTTTTTTTTTTTTTTGTTGTTGTTGCACTCTTTAGTACAATAGTGTCTGATAGTTGTTGTAGTTCTTATGCGTTTCTAACAACACGAAACTTAAGGTCTTCAATTCCTGTGTGATCCCAGTGCTAACTTATGGTTGTGAGAGTTGGAAATCATCAGTATCAATCGATAAGAGACTAGTCGCTTTCGAGAATAGATGCCTCCGAAAGCTATTGAATGTTCACTGGTCGGACTTTAGGCCCAATACATCTATAAGACAGGAAACAAAACAAAAATATGTGTCTGATTTTATTAGAAAGCGTCGCTGGAATTACATCGGTCACGTACTCAGAATGGACATACAGAGACTTCCCCACCAAGCCTTCATATGGTCACCAGAGGGTAAAAGAAAACAGGTAAGACCAAAAGAAACTCTCCGTAGAACCATCACAAGGGAGAGCTCAACCATAGGTCTCAGTCGCACTCAAGACCTACATCAAGTGGCAAAGAACCGACAGACGTGGAAAGCTATGACCTCTGCCCTATGCGCCATCTTTGGCACAAGAGGAATAACTAACTAACTAACTATGCGTTTCTAGCTATTAATTATGTGTCATCTGCATAACGAAGATTGTTTATATTGTAATCAAGAACCACGCTTAGGAAAATTATAATGTGTGTATGTAGATGGTAAAGAAACTTATCATAAAAGTGTTCCTTACTACAGATTAAAAAAAAAAAAACTCTAGACAAACCACATATCTCAATCTTTTTGACTACTGGGTGCTTCCTCTATTTATTCTTTGCTCACCGGATATAAGCTCCAGCCGAAAGTCCTGGTGGTTCGTCTTCTGTCAAATACCTAATTTCTCAGTGACATGGGCGGGTAACATGGTCCGGTGGAAAAATGGTACCAGTTGTCACTAAACGATGGTGTCACCTGTCTATAGTTTAGGGTTTACCCTGGTCATCAAAGACACTTTCAAGTGATTTAATGTTGCCATTTCGGCTCGTGTTGGTCTAGAGGTACTACGCAGCTCAAACGACCATCCAACATCACTTCAGCAATGAGGCAACACAAAATATAGGTAGCACAAAATTAATAACTATTCTTGCGCACAACTTGACCAGACTTCCTCAGCACTTGTTAGCTCCCAGACTAGATAGGATCACTATCATAGTCAAAATAAACAGAGTATTGAAATAAATCTGAAGAGGAATATACGCACATAGATATAAATAAAGAAAACAGTGAAATACTTCACCCTTACACAAACAATTTTGAATTCAGAATAACAATGCTTGAAGTTTTGAATTTTAACAAAAGTAAGACTTGTCAATAAACTGATCGAAAAGATCGAACAATAAATATAATAATATAAAAAACACAACGTCCAGTCAGAAATGACCACAGGCCTGACTTCAATGCACTGATGAATATCATCACTGCTATGCAGATGAACAAAACGCACGTATAGATACCCTTTGCCTGAGTAAGTGGACCGCAGACCCATGTAATATTACCATTGGACTATCCGATCCGGTTCTGTACCGCTAGGTGGTGAACTGATGTATGACAGGCTGGAAGTTGTGAGGGCTCTTTGGGAGCGATTGGACAGTGCGGAAGCACAGACAGATCATTACAGTCTAGGAAGAATAGCGCCGCGAGGAGTTACAATGAATCTGACCGACGCTCAAGACTCAGAGAACAGGCGAGAGGGATATTCAATCAGACGGTTCCTGTGCCATCGGAATTAGAACTCTTCGCGTGCTGCTGAAGATGGACACGGGGCGCTTATGTGGGTGTCCTGAGTGCTGTGATGTTGATTCATAATTCAACATTCAAAATTTGAACAAAAGGCATCGTACGTTCAAGCCAGAATTGACTGATTGGCTGTACGTTCTGGCATCCTGTACTTATCCGCAGTGGTAAAGAAGGGTGGACCCTCTTTCTCATTAGTCTGAGTCAACTACTGCTGCAGGATTCAACAACATGGAGTCATGAACATTGTGACCGTCTCTCTGGGATTCAAGCTTCAGCACAAATATAAACAGTCTCACAAGTTAGGCACTGGCAGATGGTTGGTCTGATGTAGAAAACATTAGGCTGGTTGCAGCAGCCGATGAAGTGCGGTTTGCATCTGTTCTCACAGAGTGGGACCCATCATGTTATTTAAGATTCAGATTACTGGAAATAGTGAGTCGGATTGCCTGGCGGGTGTGACTGAGCACTGGTGAAATGGGTGTCAGCTGGAGCTAGGACTGAGGGATGCAGCAATTTGGGTGGAACTCTTTGGCTGTGGCTGTGATATATGTTTCAGCTAAACCAGCATACTCTTTGGATCAGAGCTTATACATACTATACTTATTTTAAACTCCTGGGTGAAACGGTGATTTCAGTCCATATATTTCAGTAAAATGATAGAGTGAAGCGTAATGCCGTCCGCTGGCTATGGAATCTGTGTCAAAAATTACGCCAAAAAGAGTCTCTCGAACTAGAAGCGGGAAAGATTCATTCGCCAGAACGGCGGTAGTTCGGCCACGGACTATGGCTTCGCTACGCCTTGCGATCACTTACCTATGAGTGAATTCATAACTCACTCATGATAGAATAGAATCAAACGGAGTTCTTTTACCTATATCTTGACCCATACTTACCAAAGAAGGACAATTAGCTTGTGAAAGAAGAGTCCATATTTGAAAGTAGTTAATAGGGGTGTTCGGCTGGTATGTAACACCAATCTGAAGAAATTCATTAGTATTTAAGTACCTTCATAACAGCGGGGTGAAGATGTACTAAAGAAGTTAAACGTGAAACAGCTCAGGCAAAAATACGATTTTGCAGCATTGGATATATTCTCTGAAATCTGTTTGTGTCAGCTAAAGTGGGAAATAGAGTCCTTGAGAATTAAAAAGAATCATGGACACATGCCAATATTTTTTTTTTTAAATTGTTTGAAGACTGCTGTGGTTTGTTTATACACGATAGAATAATATGATAATGAAAGTGAATAACACGTCAGAGTCAAATAGTATAAGATGTCTTGAGTAAACTTACTAACAGAACTACTTACTGGCATCATAAGGAAGCAGTCTATGTTAGTTCGTCTCATAATGAGAAGGGGTTAACTTGAAAATTGCACACACACACACACACACACACACACACACACACACACAAAACATCATGAGGGAAATAGAGGGAAAAGCGGACCAACAGGGAATATGACAGACATGTTGGCCTCATGTCATGAACGACTTTGTCTTTGAAAGATGACTGACAGTACCTTAGACACAAGGCTGTGAGCAGAATTATCAACTCCACTCAGTAGGGACTTTAAGAATAAGAATGAAATTAAATCCTTTCATCTGGGAGAAATCCCTCTTTGGTTACCATTATATTATGCTAATACCATAACCCCGTTGCTCTGTGTGTTTTTTTTTTTCCTTGTGCATACTTCTTATTATCTAGAGTTTATCTTACAATGATAAACTGGAAACGTGTTTTCTGTTCTCTGATTTCCAAAAGTCACGAATCCATGGTTGATTTAAGGTCTTCATTCCCTGCTGAGTGCTGAGCTAAGCAGTGACATCACAGAACCTGGAAATTCCCAGAAGTACCGCATACTCATCTTCAGCAGCCAGCGAAGATTTCCAATTCTATTGATCCCAGTAGCATTCTTTTTCTCAGAGTGTAAGAGTGTCGACCTCATCCCCTGGCCACTTCTGCTGTACAATGAGCTCATGATCATAATGATCACTTTGTTCCTGTGCATTGTTCCCTTGCTTCCAAAGGTTCTTGACAACATCTAGGTTGTCATGTTCACCACCCCCAAGTGCAGAACCAGCCAGTCTGCTGCTTGTTTCACTACACTCCTGCATGCCCTGGAGAAAATATCCAAAGAATGCTAAGCACCCTCCATTTAATAAGCAATTCACACAAACTGTGAAGTATTATATGCATTGATTCATCTGTGGTTATCCTGATCTATATGTTGACAGAAATGTCTTTGATGGATGCCAATTATACTGCCGATGAGCACTTAGCCTCCAGATCCTTGCCTCTGAATTCATTACCCATTGACAAGAAAATTCAAACAACCATTTGTTTCAACGAGGTAAGTGTGAAGAACTGGTGATAGTACCATGCTGGGTTCGATCCCAACTGCTGGCCTTGCGCCTGCCTTGGTTTCGACAGTGATATCGAGAAGCCGACCGTCCAGAGGCAGTTTCAAACTAATGGACGAAAAAAGAGAAAAACCACAAGAGCTTGCTGGGGCTGTTTCTGCAACGTCCTGTAAAGGATAATCAACTTACTAACTGCAACAGACATTTGGCTGACTACAAGTACCCTTTTTTGTTCTATATTTAAAAAAAAAAAAAGAAAGAAACTCTGCCTGGGTCCATATATAAGATGTTAAGTTTCAGTTTACTGTTAGTTTCTGTTTTTTTTTTTTTTTATGGAGGGGATCCGTCTGGTCGTTTGTGTTGACCAAAGCCCGTAAAAAGAAATATTTGTTTGATCCCAAAACGCTTGGTTATTTGGGCACCAAGCCTGCTGGAACCACCCCACCGATTGGTTCGCAGTGGTTCGTACGTGTAATTTCACTAATCTTTCTATTTGAGCTTAGCAAAGAACAGAAGAAGACATTAAAGTTCCTTTATTTCTATATATATATATATTTATTCTGGTTTAAATGAACAGAACACAGCCAATATGTTTTTAATAAACTCTTGTTTTCATCTACAGACATCGGAGGTGGACATTGAATTATGGGCAGAAATCAAGTAAGTCAATTTTCTAATGAAATCACAATGCATACATAATGTTTATGTTTACGTTTAACGTTACCAGGATACTGTTTCTTCTACTGTAATTTGTTTCTTTGTTTTTAAATTGTCCTTTTTGTATTCTCCAGCTGTCTCCCCCCCCCCCACCCCCCCCCCCACCTTGTTCATTCTCGTCTGCTGTTTCTGCATTTACCTAAGTTTCAATTGTTTGACTAACATCTCTTATGTTTACTAGTTCTGAACTATTTTCCTGTCAGTTTGGGACTGCTGTGCTCTACAATGTCTACTAAAATCAAGTGCTGTTTCCTGTGACACCAAGATCGTCTTCTTGAGTTGCTTTAGTTACTTCATTTAAGTGTTGGCGGCAAATCTTCTGTGTGTTCTCTTCAATCAATTGTATAGGTTGGTCTACTTACAACTGTTCTTGATACTGTGTTCCTCCCGTTGCTTGGTGTCCATTATATTTCTTCATTTGGGACCAGGACATTCTCATAAGATGGCCACACCATCTCAGCTGTTCATCTTTAATAAACTGCATGACGGGTTTCAGGCCTAATCTTCTAATTGCTCTATTGTATAATGGTAACTAGTTATTCTCACTGCTCTGTTAAGACAGCTCATCTCTGTTATGATTTTGTGATCGATAGTTGTATTAAGTGTCTACGTCTGACTCTCGTTGACTTTTATTGATATGATTTCTGCTTGTCTGCCTGTCACCACTGTTCCTGATCTATCCAAACACTTTTTTTTCATAATATTTGTATGGCACTTGGTGTTGTCTTAAAATAGATGGTTTTTGGGACTTCTGTTTCTGCTTTTCAATACTTTATCACCTATAAATTATAAAATTGAACTGTCATCATCTTTTCGCTCTCTGATTCTGTGTAAATACTGTCAATGTAATGAAAAATGTGCATACGCCTCTGTTTTACTCCCGAATTACGTCAAAAGGTTTTGGTGTACCTGTTTTTATTCGTACACAACTTTTATTTAATGTATATAAACTCACTACTACACTCAGAGAAAATGGCAAGACGGACATTTAACCAGATTGTGACCGGTACCATCAGTACTGGAACTCTGCACTGGCTGCTGAAGATGAGGACGGAGCATGCATGGGAATGCCCCGAAGGCTGTGATGTCAATGCTTGACTTAACTCAACTCAGCTTACCACGTTAACTTACTTTATATCCAATGAAATAGTCAACATTCACTTGCCTTTCCTAGAAAAAAAAAATACAGCCAAACCGACTGTCTAAATGTTACTGGGGATGAGACTCAGCAGAGCTTAGTATTCATGTTTAGTATGAACCACTTTCATTGAAAACGAATATCTTCACTAGTATTCTAGGAACTTCCCATAGATCAAACAATGACAATATCTGCACAGAGCTCGAACGCCATAATCTGACCACAATCTAAAAGTTTCACATCATCCGTCAGCAGGTCCTTCACAGAACGTCGCTTTCGTCACGGCACACATGAAAGTCTCTCTTCCTCTAACCAACTCTCCAGCCCTATGTGCTTTCATAGCCAGTCCATCTCTACAGTCCTCTATTCACGATGCGGAGGGGTGCCTCTGCCTCGATTTACGGAAACTGTTTCGTCTATCACCGTTCTCTTCAGGCAACTTGACCTTTAACATGGCCCAAATACTTTAGCTTTCAGGACAGGATGTTGTTTACCAGCGAATTTTCTTCGATACTCTGACTATTTGAGTTACACTTGCTAGAAAATATATATTTTTTTTTAATGGGTTGGTTCTATGATTTTCACAATAAGCCTGCTCCGCAGCCTTTAATAAATTCAATCGCTAGGCATATTGTTGTTGTTGATTGTCAAGTGCAGGTTCTCGGTGTTTCACCCCTGTCCAAAAAACCTAGCCTTCATTACACCCCTAGCAGGTGGAAATATAGGATGCTACTTCCGTTATATCGAAATTTCACACAACACAGGCTGTGGTACAAGCGCGAGCTAAGTCTGCACAAGTCAGAGGTTTGACATCGTAATAACTAAGCCATTTTGCCGCTGACAAAAGTAACAACAGGGTCTTGAGTAAAAGTACATAAATAACAAAGTCAGTTATGAATCATCACCCCTACCCTTTGCTCCCCTAACTATCCCAACTTATGTGTTGTGTATTCACAGAAATGAGCCCGATCTGCGATTCAGTCTGACCCTGTGCCCAGAAGAAAAAGCTTTCATTGACACCAGAAAAAGAAACATTCACAAAGCTTTCAAAGATCACTATGGCTTTGCAGCGCCACGTAACTACAAAGAGGTTGAACAAATATATATATATATATAGTTTTTTAATATACGGTTTTTATGTAAAGGTAGTTAAAAAAAAAAGTTACCATCACTGGGTGTGAAGTTTTGTATCTTCCCAAATTTTATGTCATAGCTTATTTTGAAAAAATGAATTTCCTTACTGTGTTTTCTTCTCCGACAATTTCCAGGCAATTATGATATACTTATTTAATGAGATTTGGCTAAACTAACTTAGGTACACGAAATATGATAATTACACCTCTAGGGTGGATCAGAAGGTATTCTCGGTAAACTACTCTTGTTAGGAAGTTAATAATAATGAATGTGTAGTCGACAGGCTAAAAGGAATGAAACAGTGAGATTACCATTCAATCAGAATGCTGCACAAGCTGAGAGATCTGCTGCAAGGTTTTCTTCACAATGGCTGTAGGCAGTAGTCAGCTAGTTGCCCTATAACACTTAATCAAAAGAAGCAACACTTAATCAAAAGTTACTAGAAACAGAACAATCTATAGGATCAGATCACCTGAGAGAGTATCGTAGAAGCTTAAATTACTCCATTTTTTTTGTTTTTGTTTTGTTAGCATGTTAAGTGTCGATCAAAAACTGACATCACAGCCCTCATGACCTTATCAAGAGCGCTCCTTCCACATCTTCAGCAGCCAGCGAAGAGTTGCGATTCCGATGGTGCCAGCAGCAGTTTGATTATATGCACGTGTTGCTTCACCTCTAAGTGTAGACTCGACCAGTTCCCTTGGTCACTTCCAGCTGCACTCTCCAGAACATATAAGTCGATACGTGCCTCTGCAATGTTTGCCTGCTCCCAAAGGCCCTTGACTACATCTCGCTGGTCTAGCCTACGCTCACCACTCATAGGTGCAGAACTAGTCAATGTGTCTGTCTGTTCTTTTCTTAACAATCCTGCATACCCCTGAAAAAATCTGAAAAGAAGGCTAACCACCCCGTTTTTTTTTTAAAGCAGAGAGCGAACAGATGATGATTATTTAATACTGGTAACCTTTTGGCTTGGTATTATGGATATCGCAACTCTTCGACCTTTATTCCATGATAGCTACTGTAAAACGGGGTCAAATGTGATTTTTCTTCCTACCCTCCGGACGTGAACCCGAACCTCAAGAAGTTCGTCACCAGGTCGCCGCGCAGTCAGGTTTAGCCAACTGTGCTATCGAGCCGGGCAACCAACCCGTTAAACATTGAGACGGTCTCGCTTAAGACGACGAAGCGTGCGGCATCTCTTATATTCTAAAAGTTCTGATAAGTGAAAACATGGATTGATCAACTTAGAACATCCAATGAACCTCGGCCAACACTGAATAACAAAGCCAAATCTAGTATGTTAAAGTGTACAATTTTTGAGAGTTATTGGTGAAACAGGTCCAACAAGAACAACCTAAAACACTCCAATGCTTCTAGAAACCAACGAACATAACTTGAACATTAACTGGAAGCAAACCTGACAAAAGGCATTATTTTCAGTGTAGCTTCTTGTTGCATTCCTTTAACATGATTGATGAATCATGACAAGTACATGAATACTTAAATTCAAACATGCAGATCAACTTCTCTCTCTCTCTCTCTCTCTCTCTCTCTCTCTCTCTCTCTCTCTCTCTCTCTCTCTCTCTCTCTCTCTCTCTCTCTCTCTTGCTTGCTTTCCAATGACAAAATATGTTAATTTACCTTCCACAGATTAGATCCGTAGATATATAGTTAAAGATACAGTCCCGTAAATATTCTATTGACTTGTTCAATATACGCAGCTATCCACTTGCATGAATTAAATCTACTCATTCTAACCGTACGTTGATTCATGATCCTTGACCAATTATCCATACCATCAATCCAAACAGTTTATCTCCAGCAGAAACGCTAAGACGACAACATCGTACTTTCGTTAATAACTCCTCACGAAGCAGACACAACATTTGACGTCTTAATACAACAAGGCTACGGATATCTATTGTGGCATCCATAGGTGACATTCCTTCTGAGATCCACACAATTTGGACTGATGCATCCTGTTCCTCCAGCTACTTGCGAATCCTTGGAGATAATCTCTTTAAAACATTTGCGTTTTTATTTGTCGACACACAACAACCGATTACTTACTATTTGAGTCATTTAGTGCTGGTTTAGTTCCGTGTATAATTTGCACGTGACACTTGTATCTTGTAACATGATATGCAGCCCAAAAAGCAGATTTTATCAACAAGTTTAGTGCCTGTTTTGTGTTCTTTGCTGCTTCTGTTTCTTATGCTAATGTTCAGCTCATCCCCTCCCTATCTTCGTGTTGGGAAATGAACAGGAAGAAATATTAGCTGGCTCTGTACAACTTGATGGAATATTGATGTATCATAAGGCATATATATATTTGCTCCTTATTGCTTCATGTAAATCCATCATCATCGAGACAATTAGCTTGTTGTGTGTGTTTTTTTAAATAGGTACCAGTGATAGCTGTGATTGGTTCCGGCGGGGGATTTCGCGCAATGACAGCCTACAGTGGGGTCATGTCTGCACTTTCAGAGCTTGGTGTTATTGACATGGCAATGTATGTAGGTGGTCTGTCCGGATCAGCATGGTAAGTATTTGACTTTGCATGTAGATGAAACATAGAGATTAGAGGCGTGCTTTTTCCCCCCAGACGTTTAGCTTTTTAACTATCTACCATCATTTTCTAGTTGAATCATATTACTTTCCTGATTTCATTTTTCCATTCAAAAACGGGTCCGTGGCATCTTAGATCTACGAACATCCCTAAAACCTGCCTCATTCAAATACCGAAAGCCTTTGTATGGGCGTGGAAGCAGGTTAGACCAGATGTGACTCAGCTGATTAATTGTAGAGCAAAGTAGATAGGTCTGTAGAAACCATTGAAAATGTGAGCTACAAAAACAAAAGATGACGAGACCAAAAACAAAAGAGAATTGAGCTTGATGTGCTCCATGACCCTGGAGAAAGTTTCTAACAGGCGCAATCCCTCGAGGTCGGAGTACATCTGCCCGCGAGGGAGGGAACAGCAAAACGGTTGTACACACAAAACTCAGGTCCATGTGAAAGCCAAAAGTCCAAGCGGACGATTAACTGGGACCTTCCGCCGGAATTCACAGCCGGTGAACGAAGAAGAAGAAGAAAATAACGACCGCAGATGGTCACAGTGTAAGAGTATTCTCGTGTGGAAGAAGACTCTCACTATTCATAGCAGGTCATATCCGTGCTGGCTTATTGTTTCCCCCTTTCAGTGTGAGACCGGATATGTAAAAAACCAGCTAACACCGCTCCTGGGTTTGAAGAAGACAGTAGACTAGCAGCGTAGATTTTATTCTTTCGTTGCAAAACTCTTGCTACGTCTCCCTTAACACGTTATACTTGTCCAAACTGCGACTGGCCTGAAATACTAAAAGCAGAAATAACTAACGGAAGTTTACTAGATCTCTGAAACTAACAAGAATATAATTTAAAGAAACGAAAAAGGAAAACTTGTGGAAACGATATAAAGGCACAAGCATTAGACTATCCAGCCTCTTCTCTCTCCGTCTCAATCTGCCTGTTTGGCTATTATATTACATGTGAGTGTGAGTAGACAGTGTGTAAACACCACAGTTACACTTACAGAAATGGTACCCGTATGTGTAGATAAATGTAACGGTCTGACAAATATGAATCACCTCCGTCAGCACTAAGAAAGAAAATTGTTTCATTTTCCCCTAGGTATTTGTCCCAATTGTATTCACACCCAGACTGGCCACACATATCACCAGGTGAACAAAGAGAAGAAATCAAGAACAGTATTGACCGCAGTTTCCTGTGGTTATTCAGATCCTTTGGAGTCACTTTTGTCAAAGAAGTCTGGAAAAAGAGAAGCCGAGGAGAGCCGGTTTCTTTTACTGATATTTTTGGACATCTAGTTGGATATACCTTGCTAAAAGATGTAAGCGTTTAACAGTTCATTGTCTTATTTACTTACTTATTATATTTATAGTTAATGACATTTTTCCAATTTGTGTTCAAATTATGTAACGATTCCTGAGAAATGACAATGCATCGACTTCTTTCATATTAATTGTTAGACTGATTTATATTTTATATTGACGATCTCTGTTGTATTAACATTACTAAGCTTGTGGATATATGTATATTTTTATGTATTTTCAATCACACGTGCTATCTATTTCAGTGTCCATCTTCAAAGACAGGTATTTTCATGCCTGACCACTAAATATAGTCATTGTCGTTTTTACCCCTTGTAATGACTATCAGCAGACAGCTCATGTACGGACTCGCAGATAGCCTTCATGTAGACACCCGGTGTTTACATGACCCAATACATGAAGAAGAATCTTCCAGTGTAGTTCAGTAATGGAGTAGAAAGTACCCAGGCACTGAACTCCAACATAGTCGTACACAAATGATCTTCAACGGCACTAACAGCTTCAGAGTTAGCTCGTCTTCTCCGTTCCTGGGCTGACATGATATTATCATTTCTGTTGTTTTCTGCTCGGTAAAATTAGTTCCCGCGGGTCAGGTCTACGAGGGAGGCATGAAGTGCTACCAGAAGTTCTGACACTACAACGACATAAAGTTATTACGATGATGCATCCTGAATGGTCAGGGTAGTCATTCGGGCCTTATATTGCTCAGTAAAACCTCAAGCAAAATCCACTAACCGAGACCTGATCACGGAAATAACACAATGCCACTTAATAGTTATACATAAATATCTAATATTTATTGTAGGGCAGTCTTAACTTTGAGTGCCATCACTCGCTAAATGCTGACTGCTTAGCCGCCCAGTCGACGCATGACGTCAACGGGTATTTCATTTACCATTGGCCAGTAAAAGCGGCGCCTGTGGCTTAGGCGTTGCGAGACCGACTCCTAATTCCAACGTACCGCGATCGAAACCCACTTCTGGCTGCGTGGATTTTTATTGTGGTATGGAGCGTCGCAAGTCGACCCAGCCAAAATGGCTACCAGAATGTATGTCCTGGGGAAATAAAGACGGCTGGTGTAATGCTGACCACATTACCCACCTAGTGCCGAATGGTCTGTAAAAAATATTGGTGCTCTTCCCATATACCTGTAAGGCGTGAAAATGGATCTTTACTTTACTTTCACTGGCTAGTACAAAATCTCACACGGGAAGTTTTGTGTCGAATAACAATCGTTTTAATGATTTTGTGCTTTTTACCTCATGTGCTGTCAGGACTTTGAAATGTGGGCCCAACTGCAAGGTGACACTCTGTTAATCATGTGAACACTCTGTTAATCATGTGAACACTCTGTTAATCATGTGAACACTCTGTTAATCATGTGAACACTCTGTTAATCATGTGAACACTCTGTTAATCATGTGAACACTCTGTTAATCATGTGAACACTCTGTTAATCATGTGAACACTCTGTTAATCATGTGAACACTCTGTTAATCATGTGAACACTCTGTTAATCATGTGAACACTCTGTTAATCATGTGAACACTCTGTTAATCATGTGAACACTCTGTTAATCATGTGAACACTCTGTTAATCATGTGAACACTCTGTTAATCATGTGAACACTCTGTTAATCATGTGAACACTCTGTTAATCATGTGAACACTCTGTTAATCATGTGAACACTCTGTTAATCATGTGAACACTCTGTTAATCATGTGAACACTCTGTTAATCACGTGAACACTCTGTTAATCATGTGAACACTCTGTTAATCATGTGAACACTCTGTTAATCATGTGAACACTCTGTTAATCATGTGAACACTCTGTTAATCATGTGAACACTCTGTTAATCATGTGAACACTCTGTTAATCATGTGAACACTCTGTTAATCATGTGAACACTCTGTTAATCATGTGAACACTCTGTTAATCATGTGAACACTCTGTTAATCATGTGAACACTCTGTTAATCATGTGAACACTCTGTTAATCATGTGAACACTCTGTTAATCATGTGAACACTCTGTTAATCATGTGAACACTCTGTTAATCACGTGAACACTCTGTTAATCATGTGAACACTCTGTTAATCACGTGAACACTCTGTTAATCATGTGAACACTCTGTTAATCATGTGAACACTCTGTTAATCATGTGAACACTCTGTTAATCATGTGAACACTCTGTTAATCATGTGAACACTCTGTTAATCATGTGAACACTCTGTTAATCATGTGAACACTCTGTTAATCATGTGAACACTCTGTTAATCATGTGAACACTCTGTTAATCATGTGAACACTCTGTTAATCTGTGAACACTCTGTTAATCATGTGAACACTCTGTTAATCATGTGAACACTCTGTTAATCATGTGAACACTCTGTTAATCATGTGAACACTCTGTTAATCATGTGAACACTCTGTTAATCATGTGAACACTCTGTTAATCACGTGAACACTCTGTTAATCATGTGAACCGACTGACTTTATAGTTTACTAGATAAACATATTTCAGTAAAATTATTAATTATAGAATGAGTGACCATTCACTTTGTTGAGTAGGCTGTATTTAAAATATCGCACCCCTGATATCTAGATCACTTACAAATCACAAACTATTGCACACCTGCACGCACTGCTTCCACAGTAGTCAGGTGTTTATCAGTATCATATTCTTCCAGTTTTATATCGAGAAAACAAATAATAGTTTTGATTAGTATAATGTGTTCATTTACATATGGCTCATCGTATATCGTAAATAAGGTTAAATTAAAAAAAAAAAATTATAGAAACACATGAGAAAATGAAAACAACATCAGAACAGGTGCAGTAGATACGATTGAAACATAGTGTTTAAAGATCTTCCGTGTATTTTTTATCAGATGTCTTTAGAAATATAGTATCTCTGCGATACTACACAATATTGCACTATTTAAATTGTTTTCTCAAAATATCAGCGCCTTAAGGCCAAGCTGAGTGACCAGAGGCAGACAGTCCAGGCCGGTCTGTGTCCGCTACCTTTGTATACATGTCTACATGTGAAGAAATCTGTTTCGGCAATGATTTTTCATGGTGAGTTATAAGATTATTCAGTAAAAGCACACAGTAATATAACTACCAATCGATCGATTGAATATTAAAAGAAAGAGCGATAAAGCAGTTAAGAAACATTATATATTACCCCTGTTATACCCTGCGGGGTGTGGTGGGGTAAAAAGAAACAGGAAGTCTGGTGTGCTTCGGGTGCAAGGGTTGTCAGAGTCCCCTTCTATCCATCGTTTCCATAATTAGTCTTTTTATTTTGTAATCAGCTTGGTCTATCATTGCTTGCTGGATTCTAATGTCTGTCAGTTGTCGAACTGTACAGATGTACATTTCCCTTTGTTTTATGAATAAATCTGACGCTGCCCCTACTCAAACCGAAATTATTGTATTACTTCTGATCCCATCTTCTAGATTAATCTAGTGCCCTCAAAGGAATCTGACATCCATTGTAGTATTTTTTTTTTTTGTTTTTGTTTCAAGATTGCACTGCTAGCAGAATTATTTAAAAAGGGTGTGTTATTACAGAGTGCGTTTTTAGTATTTGCTGACACATTTTTGCTGCTCAGTGCTGTTGTCATTCATCTAATACATTGGTTCTGTTTATTAATCCCTTGTTGATCTGGTGTTCTTATATGCCAGTCGAAGCTATTTTGATTACTATATACTTCAAGAACCTGCTTCAGATCGTGCTGAGAATTGAATCCCCACAACCCATAGTTGAGGTTATGGCCTCTCTTAGGTTGAATTAGAATACTTTCCATGTTACATTCGTCGCACACTTGTTTAGAACGATTTAAATGATCTTAGTTCTGTTATTGAATCATTAAATATTACTTGATCGTCGGTAAACAGGAATTCTTTGATGACGTGGTTTGTTTATCACTGATTTGCGTCTGGACGTTGCCCTCCTGTCTTTGTTGTTGCGATCCTTATTTTAATTGACTATTCACATATATTGTCAACGTGAGTTATGAGTACAAGCGGAAACTGAACAGTTTTATCTCAGAATTCTTATGTGAATGGCTCTAGGTGTATTCGGTTTGGTACTTCATATTATTACATATTTGCTATATAAACATGTACACATACGTACGCACACACACACACACACATATATATATATACTTATATGTATGTTCATACACTTAACGTTCATTCAATTCTTTATTAGTTCTTCTTCTTCTTCTTCTTCTTCTTTTTCTTCTTCTTCTTCGTTTTCTTCTTCTTCTTCTTCTTCTTCTTCTTCTTCTTCTTCTTCTTCTTCTTCTTCTTCTTCTTCTCACTCTCCTCAGCATTCAGTGCCCTTGAGGTTAATGCTGCAAATATTCCCCGACTTTGTTCATATTTCTGTCTGGCCTTCTTTTTTCCGGTTCTTGACTCCAAGTTTTTATATGTCTACCTGTATATAATCTCACCCAGCTTCTTCGAAGTCTGCTTTGTAGTCTGCTCCCGATCAACTCTTTTGTGACGCAAATTTTATTTCACTTGGTTATCCTTCTGCAAAATTATCATATCCCTCCTCCCTCCCCCTTTCCGGGGGAAATTGAATTGATTGCCTCTTTGATTTCGTGCCATTTATATATCCTACATTTACTACTAATGTAGTCACGCTTTCCCCTTGATCAAAATTCTTTCGTTCTCCAGTACTAAGTCTATTACGCTAATCCTCCCCAAGTGGTTCATAATTTTTTTTTTCAAGTTTACACTGGAACTCTTTACTTCCTTTTTTCACTGCAAAGTCGTTGACTAAGTTTTCTTTCTTGTATGCAGATACGGCTATTGACCTGGCGTTTGTTACTCTGTCAGCAGTACTGGATGGCAAATGGACTATTAAATGCGATCATGGAAGTGATCATCTGCCATGTTCGGCATTGATCTCCAAATCCAGTAAAGTCAAAGCTTCAAGAGCTCGTAGGTCTTTCAGGTATGAACGGACAAACACCCTTCTTGGACTCCTCCAATAGAGGGCATGGAAGAAGAATTGCAGATCTACTTTTGTGCAGCCTCCATGGTGGACATCAGAGGTTAAACAGGCACGGAAGTTACAGAGAGCTGTAGTAAAGCGATTAAAGAAGGTGCGACAAACATCCATAAGCTCACAGGAGGAATTTGTGTGCGCGGAAAGAGATAAGAAAAATATGATAGAGGTTTTTAAGCGTTGTGCAGCTCGGCTTTCTAGCGTAGTTGGCTAAACCGGATTACGAGGTGAGCGGGTGACGAACTCCTTGTGGTCCGGGTTCACTCCCGGGGGTAGGCAGAAAATCCACATTTCTCCCAGATTTACTGTATTTACAATGGAATCAAGGCCGAAAGGTTGCGATATCCATAATACCGAGCCTAAGGGCTAACAACTCATGGCTTCTGGATACTAAAACAAACAAACAAACAAACAAGCGTTGTGCAGCAGAAGATAAAAAAGCAATATCGAAGTAGTTTTTTTTAATGAAAATGGGAGCGATAAGACTTTGGGAAAGATTTTTTTTTTTCATAGCCTACTTTAGATTTTGGAAAACAAAAGTTATGTACCATCTCCACAATAAATGTTGGCTACAGTCCCTATTCTCTTCCACGGCGCGACTCTCGTACCGCTGTCAGAAAAACATTAGATTTGTTTTGTTACACAGCGGAAAAATACCACAGTATACGAGGTAAAGGAAGTTGTCAACCGCACGGGCTAGCCTCTGAAGCACCAAGCCGCACGAGCTTGACACTTTAGATTATCCCTAATCTCTTTAATTACACTATTCTCTGCTGGTCCTTGAAAACTATGATTTATTTCTTCTGTAATTTTCTCTGTCAAATCTAGCCAACAGTGGTGAATATTCATGATCAGTTCGACTGAAAACTGGTATGTTTTAACATCACTTGAATCAAACCATTTATAAATATACAGGCGTCGCCTGCATCTTGTTACATGCCTCTATTTTGCTTCTTTATGTTTTGATAGAATGGATGGAATTTTCTCCTTATGAGATTGGACTACCAAAGTATGGGACATTTATGAAGACAGAACAGTTTGCTTGCAAGTTTTTCATGGGTTCAGTAATAAAAGAATTTCCTGAACCGCCCCTACATTTTCTGCAAGGTATTTCAACTATGTATGTGCCTGTTTAATTTACATGTGTGCTTTCGTATGTTCACCCCCACCCCCTTTTTCCCCCGTTGAATTTGCTGTTCATAGTATAATGTGCGTTTGAGTACAAGCACAGTTTTTATCATGTATATACTATTTGACTTTTTTCCTGCACAATATATAGTAAGGGAAGGTTTTTAGTGTTTCAGTTTGTGATAGTATAAAGCAATACGTCCAGTTTATACGCATATTCTATACGGTGCTTCGTTCAGTTTTGTACCCATGACATTCAGAGCCGCTCGGCAGATCCCACTTTATTATATTGCGTTATTTAAAAATATGACTTCTGAGTTATTAAAGGTAAGTAAAAGGGAAATTGTACCCGGATAAGTTTAAAACAAAATAGAGAAACACTTTCTATTGAACATTTATTGTCCTTTTCTATGCCTTTTTACGCTATATTAATGATGATGATAGGGAGTAGTGTGCGGTCTGATGTTTAATTCTTACAACAGTGAAATTAATCACAACATTTGTTCTTTAGTCAAAGAAGATCTGGGTCAACGATCAGATAAAGTAGCTCCTGTACTACAGCAAACATAACGTATTAGGTAAGATCTAAAGCACAGGCATGAGAATAACACTGGCAGCAATGAGAAACTAAGCTCCCTCTATAACTAGTGTAATTCCCTAAAGAGGGTGGCAAAACCAACTGCTGCACTAGCAATGCCAAGAAATTGGAATCAGATTTTAACAAAAGCGTCAAATAATTGTGACGAAGAACATCTAGCCGATATACAGGAATAAAGACCAACAATTGATAGACGTATATGCCAGCATGGATGCTGCAGAAATATACATCTTAGGCTTCATTGCATCGTAGAAGAAATCTGGCTGAGGATTCACACCTGCAGCTGCTCAATGGGAAGGGTAGCGTGATGCGCTCCAGTTCTTCCTCTGGTTAATTTGTCTGGGGGGTTTTTTGTGTGTGTGTTTGTGTGTGTGTGTTTGTGTGTGTGTGTGTGTGTGTGTGTGTGTGACAATGCTGTGTGTACTAAAAAAATGGCATTTTGGTCTGTCTTATGTAATGCTATCATTAGCTAATGGAGCATTCATGTGACGCGTTTAATAGTTTGAACAGTGTATTTGAAACACAGTGCCCTTCCACTGTTTAAACACTTATATTCACATTTTTAATCTAGTTACTATTCGTTTGACATTTATCGTTTTTGCTTCTTGCATATGTATCTGATGATTTTATTATAAGTATATAGCTGTGTAAAACCTCCAAGCTACAGCCAAATCATATACAAAATGGTTGATCTGTTGCAGGTATTTGGGGCAGTGCTTTCTGCATTCAGTTCAAGCGTCTTCTTCAAGATGACAAAAACATTGACATGTCAGAGATGATGAGGCGAGAACGAGAGGAACTGGGTACGTAGATTAATATCAAAGATTATAATAATGATCCAAATTATGAAATATTTGTTTAGAAAGTTTTATTAATTCTGCCCCCCCCCCCCCCCCCCCCTCCCCCCCCCCCTAGTTTATTTGTTAAATCCATTGAAATGCACAAAGACTATAAGATGTCACCTTCTTATGCAACTGTTAACAATATGAGTCAACTGTTACTTATTCTAGAATGTCTCCACTTAATTCGATTTTTAGCTTTAATTCATTTGAATTGCTATTAGTCACAGTATATTGTCAGTTCGCTCCTTTTGAAATATATTTGTTAGAGCAGGAGGGGGCTATATTCCTCCAGTCTCAAACTTTGCTCTTAGACTGTAAGCCAAGAATAAGATGAGGAAAGTCCTCATTAGAGAGCAACTCTTTGCAAATGATGATGCGGTTACAGCCCATTCATAGGAGCATCTGCAATGTTTATAATCTGCATATTGTGAATTTTAGACTAATAATTAGCAAAATTAAAACACAGATTCTGATCTAAGGTGCTAACAGTATACCTGTAGTCATCATTGACAGTGAAAGGCAGACAAAACATGGGACCCTAAATCAAAAGCAAAGCAAGAAACCAACGTCAAACTAGGTAGGGCAGCAAAAACAATGAACAGATTACCAAAAAGAGCTTTAGAGAACAGAAAGCTCACGCTTAAAACTAAAACCGGTGTCCATCACGTTTGTGTTTTCAGCACACTTCTTAACTGAAGTGAAACATGGTCGACTTATTCGTTCCAGGAGGAACGGATAAACAGCTTTTATATACAGAGTCTAAAAAGAATAATTGATTTCAAGTGGCAAGGCAAGATCACGAACACTTATATATTGGAAAGAGCAGATATCGCAATAGTTTTTCTCAATAGTCAGTCATTGAATTTGTCACCAGACGATGGTGTCACGTGTCTATTTTTGGGTTTCCCTAATTAACAAAGACACTCTGAAGTGATTGAATGTTGAAATGGCGGCTCATGTTGGTCTGGAAGGTGCTCCGCAGCGCCAACGACCATTCAACGTCACTTATGGGATGATGCAACTCAAATTACAAGCTCTACATAATAACTAAATGTTCCTGGGCACAACGTTTCAAATATTGATCAAGTTATTCGTGGAGACATGGGTAAAATACGCATTGAGCATTGTCCGTATCCGTTTTGTTTGTGAGTTGTTAAGCAAGTGTGTTGCTTGTACATGTTGAAACATTTTATAGACTGCAACGTTACATCCTTGCTTTGTCAAACTTCTTCCTCTTTTAGTTCGTCTGAGTGACATAACTGCTTTGTACCTTTCAGCCGACACATCCGACTTCATCGGGCATTTGATCACCGAGTTAGCCTTCCCATATAGCTTATCGGTACATGACATAGACTATTTGTGAGGTGTCTTCTTTTTCTCTTTATCTAATGGGTGTTTCCGCCAGAGAATCCATCTAAGGCAACCGGGTGTAGACTGGTCGGCCCTCCATAAATTTGGAGCCGAAACGTTCTGCCCTGGTCCTGGGCTCATGCAAAGAATCTTCACGTCCTGCATATGACTGCTTAACCCTGCACCCTCTGAAGATTAACAGCGAGCAGCCTGCAAGTTAAGGACTTCGATGGACACACACATAGACATAAATTTCTTTAGCCTATTAGACATCTTTAACTCTGTTGCACTGGTACTCTTAGTGCGACAGTATTTGAAGAGCATGCATCTGGTTTTGCTTTCTTGATTTGTGCCGACGCTCCAACCAGGGGGGCCAATGGTAGCAGACATTTGAACCTTTCTGTCAATCAGTAAAACAATTTATAGTCAGACATCTGAGATTAGTCTGCCATAATAATTTTTCAACACATGTATATTTCTATAATAGGAGCGAAGACACAAGCAATTCACATCTAGATGTCCTACCTTTTGCCATCTTTGACAGCTCATCCATGTCCTCTCCATATTATTCCTCATCATGATTGATTTTGTTTGATATTTTAAACTGCTAACAATTAAGAATCAATGTATTTATAATATTTAAAAAAGGGCACAAAAGCAGTTGTGTATATATATATATAATGACAGACTGAAGTATCTTGGCTAGATCTGAGAAATTGGTAAATACAGTTTGTAGACTGGGCATTACAATTAAAATAAAAAACCAAGCATCCTCCATAATTTCATAATATCACTGTTGCTTGTACTGTTTTTGCTGACATCATTCTCATTTCATTCAGTGGAGGAGTTAAGCAAAGACATTGATGTTTGTGATGTTGACGACAGCGAATCTAGTGATGAAGAAAACGTCAGTGAAAAGGGAACTCACGGAGAAAAGACAACAGGTTAGTGTTTGTTAACAAAGCTAAATAGTAACTGCTACCGCAGTACTAATGAGCACTTTCTATCAAATGGGGGACAGTCACATAATGGAAGTATCTTGCATAAACCATTAATCGTTACAGCAGTACCATTAGGCTATAAGAGTTAAGAAAAACTAGAGTTTTCGTTTATATACTATATGGTACTTAGACTGAGTAAGTAACGTCAAAGACCTTTTCCACGCCGTCAGGCTTATTAGGCCTACAAAACTAGACCTATATTTTATAGACCAATCGGTTGTCTGTTGGTGATGTAGTCAACATCACGCCGGTCGCTTGTACTTCCCAGAACTTTGAATGGCACCCGTTCAAGACTGGGTCGACTTGGGACCCAAGGTAATTTTGAAAAAAAAGTCTGGCTCCGTTAAGATTGAACCCACGACCTTCTGATCCGCAGGCGAGCATCTAGCCGCTACGTCTCAGCGACTCCCACTCAAACTTGGTATGTATCAATAATAATTATAGATGACATAATGGGCTAATTTTTTTTAAATTTATGCCTCAGAAAATAACTGAGATATTTAAGTGAACAATGCAAGATTCAGACTGCCAGCTCTTCTTCAGCCGGCATTGGTGTATTTGACTGTTACTACTCTGGAAATATTGAATGATTATAGGACAGACTCTTGTGGTCTTCAGACTGACAGGGTTAGAGGACAAGGAGATAGAAAAACGTTTAGGATGGCTACTTAGAACATCAGCGGAATGAGAGACTTAACTGGGAGAACTGATGATTAAAAATGAAATTAAGACCATGGGGATATCGTATATAAGAAGAAGAGGACAAGATATGAAACAATTACATAAAAACTATACACTAGCATGAAGAGGTACCCAACCGAATGAGACTAACAAACATGGAGTGGGTGTCATCATTTATAAGAAGAAGAGGACAAGATATGAAACAATTACATACAAACTATACACTAGCATGAAGAGGTACCCAACCGAATGAGACTAACAAACATGGAGTGGGTGTCATCATTAATCCATAAATAGCTAAATTTACTAGAAACAGACTACATAACAAAAAAAGAATTATGAGCATCAGTCTAGTACTCAGCAGGAAATGGTTAACATACATCCAAGTATACGGCCCATGTAATGATACATACAAGCTTAAAGAAGGAATAGAACTTTCCGACAAATTAAGTGAAAGCATCAGTAAATTTAAAAATACTGACATCTTGTACATACTGGGGAATTTCAATGGAAGAGTTGGAGAGCACAGAACGCTATGGGAGAGATATCTGCGATCCTTCAGCGATACAACGACTAAATGTGGTTCTTACGAAGAACAGCTGCTGAATATGTGCAGAACATGACTTGATTATCAATAACACCTTTTATCAACATGGAAGAAGTCGGATATTAACATAGTATAGATGGAACAACATTAAGTCAAGCATCGCAGATTGATTTTATTTTGACCAGAGGTAGAGAGAGAGAGAGATGGAGAATAAAGAATTGGAATGTTATCCCAGATAGCTTCAGTATTGGTTTGAATCTGTCAAGCTTGGTAGTTAAGTTGTTTTCGTATTCATTTAGAATAGAAAGGGACCAAACGTTTGTGTTGCTATTTCATTATGTCTGTTAGTGTATCTCGTGCTAAACACATTTCATGTTTTAAAAAGATATTTCACAGTCTACAAGTGCAATATAAAAGGATTGTGAGTACATTCTGGTTGATTTTGTGCGCGTGTGTTTGTGTGTGTGTGTGTGTGTGTGTGTCTGTGTGCGTGCGTTTGTGTTTGTCTGTAAGTGTGCAGTCACATTTGACCGCAAAAAGGAAGTGATTGCGATGGAGCTGATAAAAGATATATATAATTATAAGCATCACAGTAGAATGATCTACCAGAAAGAACAATCAGACAGTATGACATGAACAATGTCTAGTCGTGAATGACTACTAGTCTGACTTAAGGTCACTGTTTGGGTCATCACTGCACCAAAGATGAAAAAGGGCATAGTAATCTTATGACATGTATTGACTTTTTGGCTGTACTTCGGATAAATGATACTTATCATTTCAGGTGCAAAAAATGAACGAACAACTCCTCTTCTCAATCCATGTTGATTTTTCTAGAGAATTCTACTGGAAGATTTCCCACTACTCTTATTAACTTACTGCTCAGTTTAACATAGTCAGTGTCCCTGGCAGAGAAACATGTAATTGGCACTCTCAAAGTTACAAATGCCATTCAGGTATGCTGATGGCGATCAGCCGTGGCAACACCTAAGGTTTAGATGCCAATGCGGTAGTTTCAGCTGGCTTCTTCTTCTTCTTCTTTCGTTCGCCTGAAATAAGTTGTCAATATCAGCAGTTTTGTCTCTTGTATAAATTTCACTGTTGTTGTTAATTCATTCAGTGGTCCATAAAGTTTACGTTCCACTGTTGTTCTTTCTGGCCAAAAGGTTTGCCTTAATGTGTCAAATTTAATGCAATCCTGGAGTACATGATCTGCTGCTGGGGCACCTTTCCACAGGTGCACATGGCTGATACGCCTATCTTGAATTTTGTGTGCTGGCTTCTAAGGCGTGTGACTCATTGTCACTGCTTGCAGAGTTGATGAAGTCACTGGCATAGAGGATAATGGGTTTACCTGGGTTAGGTATTAAGAGATGATGGTTTGGGTTTCTGGCTTTTGTTGGTGGATCTTTCACTGTGCTCCAGACACAGGTCCCAGTTGAATCAGCAGTTCACTGCTCACACATCCCATGCTCTTGGGGGACATCACACAAGCGATAAACACCCGGGGACACAAAATGCCACCATGGGGATGAGGATCACCCGTAGAGAGGTCCCACAAACACCTTACAGCTGTTAGGCCATATCTATGGCTAGGCTATATTTATGGACTATCTATATTCAGGGCCCCCGGCAAAAGCCAGGGTGGGGCTTCGATATAGCAACAAATTGCCTTCCATGAGGGGACGATGTATTATATAAAAGTAACTTGACAGTGAACTCGTTAGAACGTCTGTCGACCATGGGCTCTGTGTTTCGAATGTCGACACAAATTCAAAACTCGCTCGAGCCAGAAGCGGGAAAGATTCATTCCACTTAACATAGTCTTACTTCGGACCCGAAAAAAGGCTTCGCTACGAGAAATCACCGACACGGGAGTGAATTCATAATAAGGCTCACCCCCAATAGATTTAGGACTGAATAAGGTTTCTTTACTTAAATCCGGACCCATACTTACCAAAGAAGGACTGTATACTTATGGAGGATTAGTCCAAATATGAATACTGATCATTTACATAAAGGTGTACAGTATGTGGACGAACCTAACGCAGAGGGGTGTTCTGACTGGTTATGTGACTTGTGTGTGTGCGCGTGTCTGTTAAACATGGTAATTAAAATGTGACTGTGGTAAAGAAATGAGCATTTCTTTTTCATTTCTTACTGATATTTCTAGGATGTTGGTAAAAATTTCAGTCAATTAATTGAGTTTAATTTTTTTTTTTTAATTTTTTTGAAAAGCCAAGCAGCAATAAGTTGTAATTGGGTTTTTGATTGAACCAGGTGGTTTACAAAGAAGACGATCAAAGAGCTCAAAATTGAAGCAGAAATCATTCTGGGATAGCATGGTGGCAAGGATGCTTGAATCGCGATGGTTTCAGGTAATTAGCTTACAATTGTCATTTCTGTTTCTGCCTTTGATGCACTTCATACACTGCTACTTATAAGTTCAGAAAACTTGTTTGTTTTATTTCGGCATTTACTTCAATGAGTTAGTTAGTTAGTTTAGATAGTTAGTTTAGTCAGTCAGTTATTTAGTTAGCTAGTTACGTAGTTAGTTAGTTACTTAGTTAGTTAGTTAATTAGATATTTACTTATTACTTAGTTAGTTAGTTAATAAGTTAGTTAGTTAGTTAGTTAGTTAGTTAGTTAGTTAGTTAGTTAGTTAGTTAGTTTAGATATTAGTTTAGTCAGTCAGTTATTTAGTTAGCTAGTTACGTAGTTAGTTGGTTACTTAGTTAGTTAGTTAATTAGATAGTTACTTATTACTTACTTAGTGAGTTAATAAGCTAGTTAGTTAGTTAGTTAGTTTAGATAGTTAGTTTAGTCGGTCAGTTATTTAGTTAGCTAGTTACGTAGTTAGTTAGTTACTTAGTTAGTTAGTTAATTAGATAGTTACTTATTACTTAGTTAGTTAGTTAATAAGTTAGTTAGTTAGTTAGTTTAGATAGTTAGTTTAGTCAGTCAGTTATTTAGTTAGCTAGTTACGTAGTTAGTTAGTTACTTAGTTAGTTAGTTAATTAGATAGTTACTTATTACTTAGTTAGTTAGTTAATAAGTTAGTTAGTTATTTAGTTAGTTAGTTAGTTAGTTAGTTAGTTAGTTAGTTAGTTTAGATATTAGTTTAGTCAGTCAGTTATTTAGTTAGCTAGTTACGTAGTTAGTTGGTTACTTAGTTAGTTAGTTAATTAGATAGTTACTTATTACTTAGTTAGTGAGTTAATAAGTTAGTTAGTTAGTTAGTTAGTTTAGATAGTTAGTTTAGTCGGTCAGTTATTTAGTTAGCTAGTTACGTAGTTAGTTAGTTACTTGGTTAGTCAATTAATTAGATAGTTACTTATTACTTAGTTAGTTAGTTAATAAGTTAGTTAGTTAGTTATTTAGTTAGATAGATAGTTAGATAGTTAGTTAGTTAGTTAGTTAGTTAGTTAGTTAGTTAGTTAGTTAGTTAGTTAGTTAGTTAGTTAGTTAGTTAGTTAGTTAGTTCGTAAGTAGGTTAGTTAGTTAGTTAGTTAGTTAGTTAGTTAGTTAGTTAGTTAGTTAGTTAGTTAGTTAGTTAGTTATCTAGTCAATAGACAGATGATCCTCTCTGCACATATTACCATTCAGTCAGCTAGTGCTCTGATAAAGTGACATAATTCAAGTAAAAGATATTTTTAGTTTATTTTAGTAATACCATAAGATTGCAGGTGTGGCTAGGAGTAAATTTTTTTATCCAAGGATTGTCGTAGAATGCAAAAATTGTTGCATAAAGCCATTCTTGTTGGGGACATCTGGAAAATACAGTCAGAGAACCCCTTCGATATTGGAGTCAGCTCCTAGCTGTATATAACAGTAAAGATAGAGTAACATTCTGCAAACTCACAATAAATAACTAAAGCAGTACGAATGAGGTAACATTTCAATATTTGATACCAGTAAAACTGTCAAGTGGCGAGATGATTACCCTTCTCTTTTAAAGAACAGGGTTCGTGCCTCACAGAGGCTGTTACAATCTGTTGGTGGCTCGTTGTCGCACGTTAGAGGTGAATCCGGATACTTCAAATGCAACCAACAAGTAGTCGTGACAAAAATTCGTTTTTTTTTTTTTTTTTTAGCTTACAAAATATTTATCATTTATTTGAAAAGCAAATGTATTTTATTTTTGTTATGGCGGATTATGACATGTACAAATAGATTCAATTTCAAAACCGCTTGACGCCCCCAAGAAATTTTATCCTGCCCCTTTCCCCCAACGTTTTTTTAAAAGAAGCCCCCACCCCTCCCCCCCCCACCCCCCCCCAAACTGATCTAGAGGTCTCTATTGTCCTAAAACTGCCAGCTACTATTGTATTTCTCCTTCTGTCAGCATGTCTCAACCTTCTGTCAGCATGTCTCAACCTTCTGTCAGCCTGTCTCAACCTTCTGTCAGCCTGTCTCAACCTTCTGTCAGCCTGTCTCAACCTTCTGTCAGCCTGTCTCAACCTTCTGTCAGCCTGTCTCAACCTTCTGTCAGCATGTCTCAACTTTCTGTCAGCCTGTCTCAACCTTCTGTCAACCTGTCTCAACCTTCTGTCAGCATGTCAACCTTCTGTCAACCTGTCTCAACCTTCTGTCAGTATGTCTCAACCTTCTGTCAGCCTGTCTCAACCTTCTGTCAGCCTGTCACAACCTTCTGTCAGCCTGTCTCAACCTTCTGTCAGCCTGTCTCAACCTTCTGTCAGCATGTCTCAACCTTCTGTCAGCATGTCTCAACCTTCTGTCAGCATGTCTCAACCTTCTGTCAGCATGCCTCAACCTTCTGTCAGCATGTCTCAACCTTCTGTCAGCCTGTCTCAACCTTCTGTCAACCTGTCTCAACCTTCTGTCAGCATGTCTCAACCTTCTGTCAGCATGTCTCAACCTTCTGTCAGCCTGTCTCAACCTTCTGTCAGCATGTCTCAACCTTCTGTCAGCATGTCTCAACCTTCTGTCAGCATGTCTCAACCTTCTGTCAGCATGTCTCAACCTTCTGTCAGCATGTCTCAACCTTCTGTCAGCCTGTCTCAACCTTCTGTCAGCCTGTCCCAACCCTCTGTCAGCATGTCTCAACCTTCTGTCAGCCTGTCTCAACCTTCTGTCAACCTGTCTCAACCTTCTGTCAAACAATATACTCGAAGTTTGCAGCCGGGGAACGTGAAGTAGAAGAAGAGGTGAGTCAAGACATCACAGCACTCGGGGGCATGCCAATGCATGCTCCGTCCTCATCTTCAGCAGCCAGCATAGAGTTCTAATACTGATGGTACCGGTCACAATTTAGTTGTGTGTCCGTCTTGCCTTTCCTCTAGTTACATTCAGGTGTCTTATTCTCTCTAGGCCATAGTAATCTTCTTTACTGATTGTTTCCAAAGTGCTTTGATCACATCTGCAGAAGAAAAAGAAGAATATACTCGAATACCGATTTACTGTGTGGCCCAACTAAAGTGGTCCCCATGTGGATACTGCACGGCCCTGGTCAATCCTGGTTCACCAAGGTTGTTGTCATCTCTCAACACTGGAGAGGCCAAGGCATTCTTCTGGTGGCAATCAAGGCTCACTGGGTATAGGCATATATGCCCCGCATAGGCTAAACAGTATACAACAGGCTGCAAGGCTCTAACAGCGCATATCTTAACAACAGGTATGCAGCTTCATATTCACGACACCTCACCTGTGTAGTGCCTAGACGCTCGCCTGCATTGAAGGCTCGTGCGTTCGAATCCGAACGGAACTAGAAAAATGACTTTGTCTCCCAGGTCGACGAAGTCTTGAAGAGTGTCAGGTAAAGTCTTGGAAGAAAAGGCGACTGGTGTGATGTTGAGCACAACACCCACAAGTGCCGATTAGTCTATAAAATATAGGTCTAGTACTTTATGGCCAGTACAAATCTAAAGGCGATGAAGAGTCCTTTACTTTGTACTTATATGTCACACTGGGCAGGAAGTGGACTAGTGTATCAGGATACATAATGCGATAGTTTGCCCTGCTTTCAACATCCTCATGACTTTAGAATAAATAAACTCAACGAATTATATCATATAACATAAACGTATTTTAAAGAAAAGTAGATTCAATGTACTAGCAGAAGACAAAAATCAAGTTGTTGAAATGAAATTTTGAGTCAAAAAGGAAAGAAGAAGAGTATTTTAAAACACTATAACGGCAAACAAGAAATACAACTTTTGAATTTGGTCTATAAAAAGTACATTTGTCATTTATACTTACAGAGCATAGAACTGCGAGCGGCTCAAGTCTTCAACTTCCTGCGAGGCCTGTCACTCAACAATGTTTACCCTTTCTCTCCATTCACCAAGATGCAAGAAGAGGAAGATGAAAATAACAAAGGTAATAAGCATCACAACGATATTTCAATGTCTTTGTCTTAAATATATTTGTTTAGCTTCGTATCTTCCTTTCTGAACTAGCCACCCCCTCCCACACACACACTCCTCTTTCCTAAATATTCCTTTCCAAATAAAAAATATGTACTTCTGCGATCATTTCTGTCTGTCTGGCAGTCACGTTGGTACGTGCATTAGCCGTTCTCTAAAATCGTCAATTGTTTTACCACGTTGTATTAGCCCAGTCATGTTGTTATATATTTTTTTTCTTGTTTTATATATATATATATATATATATATATATATATATATATATATATATATATATATATATATATATATATATATATATATATATATATATTATAGTCTTTTGCGAGATTCACCAAAATCACGTCCAGTTCGGTTGTCTCTATTAGTTCTCTGAACAGACTCCCAGATCAAGGTCGAGTGTTCAAGGCACTCGGAAACGCCCTGGATTCCACCTTTCTGAACAGTTGTATCGATATATTTGTTCGACATCAAATACTGTGTGAACCTGCGTGCCATTACTAAGAAGAATATCGTGCCTTCAACATTCAAGACCAAGATAGGTCTGAATTGGGACAGACTGGGGGAGTCTCGCTCCTTGGGAGTGTAGACCTTGTTGGCTCTCTGCCATGGAGTACGTATATGCTTTTGGCTCCACGCTAATCTTAGAAAGCGGTGAAGCATTCGGAGGACTTTCGGGCAGCGCTTGTACACGGCGTACGGTACACCGTTGGGCCTCTGGCCCTTTTCACAACCTCTTCGACCTCAGACCAAGAGGAAGGCATTGTTTTAAATGGTACCTTCGGCAGCTCTAGCCGCTTCAAGCCGCTGGTGATCTTTAGGTTGTAATCGAGAGGTTTATTGCTAGTCCGATCAGGGTACATCTTCAGTAAATGTGACTCCAGCTCCTCTTTACTGACCACAAGAGTCCCAGACTTTGGTTGCTCGAACAGGCCTCGGGCAAACTGAAACAGGTCCATAAAGAACATCTTTCGCTCCCTTTTAGTTCTCCCTCTGTTCTTACAGAAACGCTCGGCGCGACAGAGGGCACCGTGTTGGCTCTTCAGGTGCAGCCAGACCTCGCACGGCCCCTCCCGTTCGCTGCCCGTAGCGGCTTTGAACCATTTTATGAGTCTGCTCAGCCCTTCTCAATGTTCCTCTGTCTCCTACTTGTTGAGTGCTGCGTCTTCCCGACTGTCCCAAACTCGCGGGCACAGTGCGTTAAATTATGACACCAAACCGAGTAAGCTTGTCACCTAGCGACCTTTCCTTAAATTCATCATTAATTTTCTCACACAATTCACCCTCTGACTTGCACCACGACACCCTATCGCTTGTAATCATGGAGTTCAGCATCTCATGCAGTTCAACCTTGCAGCTTTACATTAAGTTTTTATGATGTCCAAAGTAAAAACAAGCGATTAACTTTATTACATTTGCCCAAACCTAAAGAAGTTCAAGGCATTTCTTATACGGAAACAGTGGCTCCATCTGATACAGCATGCCTCGTTTCGCAAAATCACCTTCCTTTTTTGTCCCAGACAATGCTGGTGTGAATGGTAATGAGAGAGCAGACGGCCTGGCTGGCGGTACGACTATCAGAAATAAGCGATCTATGGACACTAGTGACATCATCAATGCCATACGAGAGACTAAATACTGTGAGACTTTCAGGTTCAGGGAAAATATCTTGGGTGTACGAACTAGAGCCGCCAAATATCAAAACCGCGCGGGAGCCACCCGTCGTTGAATCAACAAGAAGAGACTGGGAGTTATTTGCCCAAAATTTCTTCTAGGCGTACTCAGGAGGAGATCGGCACTTATGGTCATGTCCGACGTGCGATGAATATGATCTTTAAATGAACAGTGAACAAATGCATGCATGTGCATTAAAATGTTATACTGGCACCTTTTTCATGTTTACAAATTACATTTCTCATTGGGCACCCTTTTTTTCCCGACATCAACAGCTTATACAAATATTTTCATTCTTTATTTCAAGCAACATTTGGCTCTATATTTGACCTTCACCCAACAAACATCAAGAAACTGTATGTAGTAGATAGCGGGCTTACATTCAATTCGCCTTACCCTGTCATACTCCGCCCTCAGCGAGAAGTGGATATTATCTTATCATTTGACTTCAGTGCCAGACCAACGGATGATACACCACCTTTCAAGGTAAACAAACAATTTTTTTTCTGTGCACATTTTTTTAGCTTGTTCAATTTAAATTTCTCAGCAAAATTGTTACCGAAAGGTGTGATTGTTTATAAAAGTCAAGTAAAAGATATGTACGAGCAACATCACATACATCCAAACCATGTGAAGTAAATTATAGTGTACGACAAGGATGTGCGCTAACTAACCAGCCTTTCACAACGTCCCAGAATATAATACGAGAAAAGCTTAGAAATGTTAGAGATAATGGTGATTTGTTTTTAAAAAAAAGTAAAAGGTAAAGGACAATTTTACATTCCTATTACATTCCGTCTTCCCGTTGCTGAATGGTCCAATGCAGTCTCCCATGGTGTTCTTCTTTTACCCACTCTGCCATTGAAATCACCCATCACTATAAGTTCGCCTGACTTATTTACCCTACCTAATATGTCAGAAAGTTGATCGAAATATTCGTATTTTTTTTTCTTCCTCTTCAGCGTAGTTGTTGTTACAAAGAGCGTAATTTTGTACAACAGCGTCCGTTCTATTACCTTCTCTAATCTGTATCAATATTAATGTTTCAGAACTATACTGAGTGTTTAAAATACTTCTAGCTTTTTCAGGATGTACTATAAAGCTGACACTATGTTTGGCCGTTGCCTGTCGATTGACACCACTCCATATTAGAACATACTTTTCATGTATTCGTTTTGTATTTTGTCCTTTTTCTTCTCGTATCAGCTAATTGTAATATCCAGATGTTTGATTTCTTCATGAATTCTGTTAGTTCTGGTTCTTTACTTCCTAGTCCGCTAACAGCCCAAGCAACACATTTTTCACCTTTGCTTTTGGCTGTAGCTGTTGCTGTTGTTTGCGTTTTCAAAGCGTTGTGTGTGTTTCTGGTCTTCACAGCACTGATAGAATCGCTCTTTTCATTTCTGTCATAATTCTCGAGCCGCATACGTTGAACAAATAAATTCCCTAACGATCTGCTGGACCTGTCGTAGGTTGATACGTATTTTACAACGTTGGTGTCAAAAACACACACTAAAACACATTTTAACCTCCACTAAATAGAGGAACAATGTTTACTCTGTCATCTGCGTCTACCAAGACAAACGTGGTAAAAGATTTTTTGGGTCAACGTTATGCTCTCAGTGCCAGACCTGTGAAACTGATGATCGCACAGTCGTAACAATAGAGATAAGACGTCTCAAAAGGGCGACCGGAGTGACCAGAAATGACACAAATTAAAAATAAACAAATATATAGAAGACTAGGCAGGAAACCAACCATAGATTCTGAAAGAGCAACAAATGGGCGTGCAATGAATGAGATAAATGGTTTAGCCATCTGACGAGTATATACTGGCACCAACTGCTGCACAGAATCACGCTGGATAAATAAAATGGACACCGAGCGAATGCAAGATCACGCAAAACATGGAACGATGGTATCGAAAACAGCGTTACTGAAATGAAGACCAACCTTACACAACACATTCTAAGGACCACCACATATAAGTTCCTCTACATCTACTCCTCCCTGCACATCTCCATCACTCTAAAACTTCGATGAAATAACTAGAGAACATGGAGATGAAGAAGAAAAGCAGAAGAAGAAGAAGAAGAAGAAGAGAAGAAGAAGAAGAAGAAGAAGAAGAAGAAGAAGAAGAAGAAGAAGAAGAAAGAAAGAAAGAAAGAAAGAAAGAAAGAAAGAAAGAAAGAAAGAAAGAAAGAAAGAAAGAAAGAAAGAAAGAAAAAAAAGAAAGAAAGAAAGAAAGAAAGAAAGAAAGAAAGAAAGAAAAGAAAGAAAGAAAGAAAGAAAGAAAGAAAGAAAGAAAGAAAGAAAGAAAGAAAGAAAGAAAGAAAGAAAGAAAGAAAGAAAGAAGAGAAAGACAGAAAGAAAGAAAGAAAAGAAAGAAAGAAAGACAGAAAGACAGACAGACAGACAAGGACAGACAGACAGACAGACAGACAGACAGACAGACAGACAGACAGACAGACAGACAGACAGACAGACAGACAGACAGACAGACAGACAGACAGACAGACAGACAGACAGACAGACAGACAGACAGACAGACAGACAGACAGACAGACAGACAGACAGAAAGAAAGAAAAGAAAGAAAGACAGACAGACAGACAGACAGACAGACAGACAGACAGACAGACAGACAGACAGACAGACAGACAGACAGACAGACAGACAGACAGACAGACAGACAGACAGACAGACAGACAGACAGACAGACAGACAGACAGACAGACAGACAGACAGACAGACAGAAAGAAAGAAAGAAAGAAAGAAAGAAAGAAAGAAAGAAAGAAAGAAAGAAAGAAAGAAAGAAAGAAAGAAAGAAAGAAAGAAAGAAAGAAAGAAAGAAAGAAAGAAAGAAAGAAAGAAAGAAAGAAAGAAAGAAAGAAAGAAAGAAAGAAAGAAAGAAAGACAGAAAGACAGACAGAAAGACAGAAAGACAGAAAGACAGAAAGACAGAAAGACAGAAAGAAAGAAAGAAAGAAAGAAAGAAAGAAAGAAAGAAAGAAAGAAAGAAAGAAAGAAAGAAAGAAAGAAAGAAAGAAAGAAAGAAAGAAAGAAAGAAAGAAAGAAAGAAAGAAAGAAAGAAAGTGTAGTGAACAATTTTCTCCTCGATAAGTTATGTCCAGACGGAATGATGTCAGCTAATAAATATGAATGAGAGATTTAAATGTAACAAGGGCAGCGACGTGAGTCACGGAGAAAGACGACCAAGAAGACAATAAAGAAGACAAACAAGAAGACAACCAAGAAGACCACCGAAGAAAAAGAAAAAGAGTTTTCTTCAACTGATTAGTGAACAGAACATGAAATAATTTATTGTTATGAAAGACGCTGATTACACCTTTCTTCTATAGAGCACACACAAATACAGAATAGCTGTTAGCAAATTCATCTGTGTAGAGGTATTTCACAATAGAGTAGTAACATTAACCGCAACAACAATTCAAGATATAAAATACTAGGGTTGTACCGAATAGTGATTTTCACTATTCGGCCGAATACGAATAGTGGGACCAACTATTCGGCCGAATACGAATAGTGTATCATCATCATCAGGTGCCTTGCCGACTGGTGTTGGCGATTTTGCCTCGCCACAATCTGCGATCTTCTGCAGCATGTATCAGTGCTGACACACCTCCATGACATGCAACAAGACTGTCAAGAATATTCTCTCGTTGTCTCTTTCTATCTCTCCTTCCAAAAATCTTTCCAGTGGTGATCACATATTCCATTTTCACTCTTCTTTTAACATGGCCGAAAAATGATGACTGTCTCCTTCTGATGTCTGTGATTAGTTGTCTTCAGGCTCCCGCCGTTTTCAAAACCTAATGGTTGCTTTTTTTTAAGGCTGTCCAATGTATTTTAAGCATTGTCCTGTAAAACCACATCTCTGAGGCTTCAAAAAATTGTTTGGCCTGCCTACCGATTGTCCAGGACTCATAGCCGTATGTTAAAACTGATTGTATGTAGCAAGCAAGACAGAGATATATTGCCTAAGATGTTCTTTTTTTTTTTTTTTTTAATATAAAATGCAGTTTTTGCCTGTCCTATTTTTTAATTTTTTTTTAATTTCAGTAATGCATCTTTCATCTGATTTTATCCATGTGCCAAATTCGCTTTTAAATCATCGTTCGCACAGGCGTTCGATGTAATTTAAACGTACTTCATATTCTCTTTGGCAATATCTTCAAATTTGATTTGGGCAAAGACACCCAGAAAGAAGGAAAAAAATGCATGCCCTCTCTCTCTCTCTCTCTCTCTCTCTCTCTCTCTCTCTCTCTCTCTCTCTCTCTCTCTCTCACACACACACACACACCACACACACACACACACAGATACACACGCACAAAAGTGACAAAAAAGAACGCATTGCCTTTAAAGATATGTGCTTACTTGACGAGGCTAACAGTTAATATTGTACAGACCACATTTTCTACTTCAAAATTTAAGCAAAAATGTAGTCACAATATTACTTATCTGCTGCACCTTCACAAATACAGATGAAGGATTGGTCACATGTCGAGACAAATACAAAGACAATTTGTAGCTAGCTGCGGTTGGCATTTTATGCAGTATGATACACTTTGAGTGTGAAACAGACAGTGGCGAGAAAAGACAATTTAAAATTCAACTTTCAAGTTTCTTCATGCATTCTTTAATAATGTCACAATTTATAGCCGACTTTTCTTGATTTTCGCCGCGGCAACCCTGGAATACGCACCCAGTTTGAGAACCTCTGCTTCAATGGCTCGGTCGTCAGCAGGCAAAGACCTTGCCATCTGCTGTTACCATGCAACTGGGTTACAGTTCCCCCCCCCCCCCTCCCCCCCCCCCCCCCCCCGGCTATGACAGATTTAGGCAACTACTATTGTGTTAATGAGAGAGTTATTTCAGTCCATCGCAGTGTCTGCAGAAATCACTATTCGTATTCGGCCCGACCGCCACCATTCGGCCGAATACCGAATAGCTATTAGGTCCACTATTCGGCCCCGAAGCGAATACGAAGCGAATATTCGGTACAGCCCTATAAAGTACACAAAAAGCAATAATTAAAAAAAAAAAAAAATAATAATAAATAATTAAAAAAAAAAAAAAATAATAATAAATTTACAAAGTTTTTACGTTTTCTCTAATGTTGTTGATAAACGCAGCGTAACTTTTAAAATCTGTTCCGTCTTGTAGGAACTTCTCTTAGCTGCCAAATGGGCAGAGATAAACAAGATTCCATTTCCACCCATTGATCCTACAGTAGTTCAAAGGGAAGGACTGAAAGAATGCTACGTCTTCAAACATCCATGGGATCCTAACTGTCCCATTGTTCTACACTTCTGTTTGGTTAACATCAACTTTAAAAGAGAAGTTAGGCCAGGTATGTCAATGTCTGTTTGGTTAACATCAACTTTAAAAGAGAAGTTAGGCCAGGTATGTCAATGTCTGTTTGGTTAACATCAACTTTGAAAGAGAAGTTATGCCAGGTATGTCAATGTCTGTTTGGTTAACATCAACTTTGAAAGAGAAGTTATGCCAGGTATGTCAATGTCTGTTTGGTTAACATCAACTTTGAAAGAGAAGTTATCCTAGGTATGTCAATGTCTGTTTGGTTAACATCAACTTTGAAAGAGAAGTTATGCCAGGTATGTCAATGTCTGTAATTTGAAATTGAAAAAAAAAAAAAAATTTGCACTGTGCTCCAAATAAACAGTGAATAAAAGTTACGTATTTGTTATCAACGAACTCAAGTTAATAGATCAGCACTATTTAAACTCTATGTGAATGAGTTATGGGTTGGATTACTTTAACGGCACCCTGGAGATATCCATAGGTGCTCAGATACCTTTCTGCATAAAAATCAGCGTCCCGCCGATAATAGTGCCAGTTATGTGCTGGTTTACACAACTTCTTGTAGTCTGGTGCGCCTCTCATGCTTGGCTGTATTAATCTTTACTTCATAAAATTCTTAGAGAGTAATTGGAAAGAATTGAAATGAAAGAAGAAGAAGAAGAAAGCTTACATTTGTATGCCGAGAGACTCACGTTCTCAAAATAACAGTTAAAACAAATCTAACCAGAACATGCCAGAACACCTTCAGGTGGAAGGGAGTAAACCTTGACCCCTAAGACCTGGATTAGGCGTGTAGTCCCTTGGTGGAACGACCGAGGCACAGAAGCACGTGAAAACACACAAACAAGCACTCCTAAAGTATAGAAACCACAGAACCGGGTTGAATTTTCATGAGTATAAAAACCAGAAAAATGAAACCAAGCGAGTAGTCAAAGAAGTCAAGGAAGCACACTGGAAAATAGTTTGTCAAAAGCTTTCACCAAATACTTCAGCGAACGAGGTGTGGGATCCACACAAAATGAAGGCTGTTAAAGGAGATAAAAAGAGCTTTAGAATTCCTACAATTAAAATACCCTCATTAACAACAACTGGCCAAGAGAAAGCCGGTGTGTTTGGAAGGTACTTCTATGAACTTTATTCTAATAAGAGATTAGGTGAGGAAGATATAGAGAGATGGGAGGGAGAGAAGAATTTAATAGACTAAACCACAACATTTAATTACAGTAGGAGACTACCTTGACGTGGATGTAACTGTAGAAGAAGTTGGAAGTGCTATACATTTTAAACTGACAAAAGTCTCCGTGCATAAGAACATTTTGGGAAACACTGGTTTTAATTATAGGTTTTCTTGAAGCTAGCCGATCCATTTGCGCATAGACTCACATGTTAGCGTGCCCTGGACAATATTAGTGTGCAAATCCATGCAAGAGAGTTTTCTTTTTTTATCTTTCTACTACGATTACTTTGTGTACAGCCTATAGTAATCCCCATTCCTTAATTTTGGATCCGTTCAAATTACTCAGTTGCGAAGCACAAGGTGTTTGTTTACACAGGCAGTAATCATATCACAGCTTTGTGATAAGTGTTTGGCACACTTAACTAAATTTTTTAAATACATTTGAAAAGATGTATAACTTTTAGTTCCATTTATGCATTTCAAATTATATTCTATTTACAGGAATACCACGAACAACACAAGAAGAATTTGACTTTGGCAACTTCAGCATTTTTGATGATACTTCCCATCCTTACTCAACATTCAAATTTACTTATACGCATCTTGAGTTTGACAGAATTTCTAAACTGATGGAATACAACACACTTGTGTGCAAGGATATCATCTTTGATAACATCTCTACCTGCATAAAAAGAAGAAAACGTTTTTCTATCCGACGTCCTTGTACAAAGAAAGATATTGCCAGACTAAGTCTGAACAATAAGGCAAAGGCGGAAAAGTTATTCGAATACATTAGTATGGTTGAAAAGGTTTCAAATATAAATGACAATTCTGAAACTGAAACTCCAGAAAATATTACAGTGAGATACGATTGCCAGACATCAAACAAGTCACGTCCAACAAGCACTCCAATTAACATCTGTACACCGGATATCCATTATAAAAAGGAATCCTTATCAAAAGATGGCAAACATTACAGTGACAGTTTACAAGAGCACTATGAACGAAGAACTATGAGTCAAGTGAAAGAAGAAGATGAACAAGACGAACTTTGCGTTCCCCAAAATACTGAATCTAAAACAAACAGTCCATCAGTGAATAAAAAGATCACGATTAGCCGATCACGGGCTGTTACTGCATCAATGCGACCTAATCGTACACAAGAGACTGAACTTGACATACTTCATCAAAAGTACATTGACACTGGAAAGCCAATTACAGAAGAAAAACATGTCAATGGCAATCAGTCATCTTATCCCAAGCCGCCGCTAGTGTTGCAGGAAAGCTTAATGGAAACAATGATTGAAAATAATTCTTCACATTCTGTAGACCTTGTAAGTGACGTACATTATGACAGAGGTGATTCTGGGTTATTAAACATGGCTAGTCTGGATAAATCAGTGAAAGATTGGATAGATACAGAAGAACGTGTCACAGATTTATAAGAAAGCGGCTACTGTACTGTTGGCAGTTGTTATAACATGAATAACCTGAGTCTTTTCATTTGGCAGTATTGATGTTTATCAGTATTTCACTCTGTCTACTGTTGTTTATTTTAAAAGTACCCTACAGTGGAGATAATGCTTTTATAAAGTTTTTACTTATAATTTCAATTGCAGTCACAATAGGCACTTACATTAGAAGTGTTACTTATTCCTGTCCACACAATATAAAAAAGAGTTACAAATTTGCTTAATTGATGACACAAGTGAATTGGTTTGCCCACTTAGAGAGAATGCCTTGTGACACCATACCATACAAAGCATATATGGGAAGAGAAGAAGGACGTAGAGCACGGGGTAGACCAAGAACAAGATGGAAGGATAACATCAGAGAAACTCTACAACAGCACGATGTGCCTATGGTCGAGGCAGCCAGAAGAGCTAGAAACAGAACCTTATATCTCCCTCGACACCCACAGCGGTAAAAGAGGAAGTGAAGTGAAGAAGAAGAAGAAGATGACACATATACTTTCGACAGAGTAAGACACTATCATGATAATCATGCTCACAAATCTACACATTGAAAGTTTAGACCTTATACTGATTAAATATATACAGGATACAGAAGGCTGCTTTAAAAACCAATAATGAAGTAAGTAAAAGTTCCAGTTGGCAGCCGCCGAGGTGTAACGAGGTGTAGAACAAGAAGCGCAGTGCTAAAAACTGGCTTTCAGCAATTTGCTTACAGTTATCGTTAATATTATTTCAGCTGCAGGGAGGCAAGGTATGTTAAAGTGTTATATAGAATCTGTGTTGTTTACATGCATGTGAGTCATGGGAAATCAACCCGCAAGTTGGAAAATAACGTTTTCGGCGGAGAGGTGCATTTTCAGAAGAATGTAAATAATAGTTTATTGTCATCCTTGTGAAAAAATCAACAGATTTGAAAAAAGACACTACAAGTTTTTGTTCTCCTTTTAAAAAAATCAAAAGATTCGAAGAAAAAACCGTAATGTTTTTGGGCATTCCTTCTGAAAACAGTCAACAGATTCGAAGAAAGACACGTACATAGTTTATGTGGCAGTCCTTGTGAAAACAGTCAACAGATTAGAAGAATGACACGTACATAGTTTGTGTGGCAGTCCTTGTGAAAACAGTCAACAGATTCGAAGAAGAAACCCACTATTTGTGGCAGTCCCTTTTGGAAAAAAAGTCAAAGATTTTGAAGAAAGACAATCTATTTTGTGGCATTCCTTCTGTAAACATTTAACAGATTGAAAAAAATGACACGTACATAATTTTTGTGGAAGTCCTTGTAAAAACAGTCAACAAATGAAAAAAATGACCTTACATTTTTTATGTAAAAATCCTTTTGAAAAAAGAAACAATTCGAAAAAGAACTACATATTTTTTGTTTTT